GCCAAAACAGACATTATCAATAATGAATGTACATGGGGGTATCTGCATTTATAATCTACGGAACATTAATATGGACAATGTAATATCCGCAAAACATAATAATTTATTCATTTTAAGACATTTGGGAACTACTAGCTATAATATACATTATTAGGGTATGATTCATGGTAATTAGGAAATAATGATTTTACATATAATAATGTAATGTGAAAACATTGTCTATGTGTGAAACGCAATTTCAACACATGTAATTTTCATTCTATCATGTGAAAAAAAACAAAGCTACATCTTTATAAATATTTCCTAAAATGAATATAAAAATCCATCTTTAGGTATTAAAAATAATTGCGAAACTTGGCCGAACAAAGATTATAAATAAAATTACAATACATACGTATATAAATACATTTAATATTATATATGAAGGAACAAATATATAATATGTAGAAAATACAATATTTTCCATCTAGAATTACTCAGTATCCTAAGAAAAATATACCATTTCTACCTAACTCTGTCATCACAATTAGCACAAATTCACAAAAATGTAGAATGCAAAGTAACAAAAATTGATAATATAATGGGCTATATGGTATATATGTAAAGAATTTTTAATATACCTTCACAATATAAAATAATTTGAGTCTTTTCTTTAAAAATATGTTCATAATTAAATAGTAAAATGTGATGTGTTATAAAATTATTAAAAAGATTTTAAAAAAATGTATTATGCAGCATAAATTTACAAAAAAAAAACTTTCCCCAGTATGCAAACTAAACAATATTTTCACCTCAAGGCATACCCCTCAACACGGGCTGACCTTATCTGTAAAAATATTTTCCCTTAATTTAAAAAAAATATATATATATTAAATATAAAGATTTCATAATTTGGAAAAAAAAAATATTATACACCATCTAATGTATCATACAAATTCCTATCCAATTTATATATACACTAAATGCAGACACTAAATCAAAATAACTATCCACATCTAACATTATAGATATTATTCTGACTTCATCATACTTCAATTCCTTCAAATTCTCATTCATAATTAAATATATCATATGTTACCTATACAATATATTAACATTATAAATAATAATTCAGTTAAATATATCATATGTTACCTATGCAATATATTAACCTTAATTAATAATAAATTATCCCATACATATTCATCCCTTTACAAACCCAAAATGCATAATTAAATAATACACACTTTATTACAAAAGTCTATATCCATATATATTTTCATTAATTTCACATATTTAAATATTTAACAATCCTTTCTGTCCTGCTGTTCATGAGTTCTTTCAGCTTCCTATGACGGAATACCTATAACACCATTCAATGAGTTTTAAGGCATACCAAATAATGATCAAAATTATATGTACCATATACATCTAGACATAAGATAATATACCAAATATTACTGTCTTAAATTCTTGATCTTATTTCCATATTTCTGCCTAATACTCATACATACTTTCTATCTTACACCTTTTTAAGTTAAATATAAAAGTATAGAAATCCTTAAACCCAATCCTTAATCTCACTATAGTTTTTTTTTAGTACTTGCGTTGTGATTTCACATTAATCCCTAGATAGATCCGATCCTGTCGACGGTAACAATATTACAAGTTACCTTAAATATAATAAAAATGCCCTTTACTCTCAATTATATAACTTAACAACCCAAAATAATTCTTTCTAATAATATTAAATAAATACCATTGACATTAACGACGATCCATATTTAACATAATTATCTTTATTTCCAATAAAACCACACAATCTAACATAAAATATGTAGAAAAATATAATATAATTATCCAATTCTTCATTTCTCAAAGGTCCACAGCTGACATCCAAAGGTCCACAGCTGACATCTAATCCAATATCTCTTAATCTCCAACTACGGGTTTTTCCGAACAATGAAACACACCCCGTGATCCCTATCTCCTCTCCTTCCCCCAAGGAAAACTTAATTCCCCTGTCAGAAAATAACTGACATTTGATGTATTATATTAAATTTATTTCTTCTTTTTTTCAACAGCTACAACAATACCTTGATTGATTCAATGTTAATTAGATCAACTGACTTCAAATTTAGCAACAAAAATTAAAAATAAAAGACTCGGTTTAAATTATTTATAAAATTTAAAAAAATAATTTTATATTTCAATAAAATATGTTTTTACCATATTTTTTATAAAGTATAGTTTTACTGTTATTGAAAAAAAACGCGTTACTCGTTACTTTTAGAAGAAGGTAACACATGGCGTTCCTTTTCTCCAAAAAGGGTAACGACTTTACTTTACAGCACTAATATATATATATATAATAAAGTAAGTATTATTGATCAATAAATTATTATAAGGAAATTTACGGTATCATGCCGCATGATATACTTTTTTTTGAAGATTTGTCGCGTGACTTTTTGCTTAAGCTTAAAATTTGTATGCTCAATTTAACAAGCTGATTGCTAATATATATTTTATAAATAATATTACCTTACAAAACAAATATTTCTATATTTATATTATTAAATTAAGTTATATCATATATATATAAATAAATGTTTTAATATTGTATAATATTTCAAAATATATTTATAATATTATATTATAAATAAATTATAAAATAATATTATAAATATATAAAATATGTAAATAATATTATAAATATATAATATAAAATATACTATATTAATAATATATAATTTTATATTAATTATGTAAATAATATTAATTATTATATTATAATTAAATCATATTAAATATTACAATTATATATTACTAAAATTTATATTAATACAATTTATAAATTTTTCTTTAAATAATTAATTAAAATTAAATATATTAATTTCTTTAAATATTATATTAAAATTATATTATGTTAAATATTACAATTTTATTAAAATTTATATTAATACCATTTATATTAATTGATTTTAATATTAATTATGTAATTATATTAAATATTTGATTAAGGTATTTACTAAAATTTATATTAATACAATTAATAAATTTTTCTTTATATGATATTAATTTAATATTAAATACTTAAATAGTAAAATCTATATAATCTGTAAAAGTTAAATTTATATTAAAATCTCTCGCTTCAAACTTATAGGGGCCATTTTAGCTTATTTGCCTTTTTGATATTTTTAAGAGTATATAAAGCGCACCCGAACCAATTTTACTACATCTTTCTTTCATCAATATCAACTTTAAAAAATTGGAAATTATATATTTATATTTAAATATAATACTTATTGGAACAGATCATTCTTCTCTAGCATAATCAGTATTGTTTTATCATATGCCTTGGTATAGGTTGTCTTAGCACTTTTTAAAATAATCAGATATAACTGTTGTATCTGTAGATTTGTAATTGACAGATATGGACGCCTTTCAATATATTTTCAAGAAGAGATGGTATTACTATAATCAATCTTTTTTTATTTGTATCACGTGAGAATGTATATTAATAATTTTATCCTTGTTTTAGGATTTGTATAAATATAGATATATATTATTGTGTATTGTACGGAAAAAATTTATGGATATGAAATAGTGTTTAGAGTTGTATTATAATCAATATACATTTTTTGATATACATATAAACAAATGTAGATATTACTTCTTTCCTTTCCATTCTTTACAAGGTATTTTCGATATCCATAATATTCCATTTGGGATAATAAATGATAGTTTTCACAAAAGAGTATTATATTTCTAAAGGAAGATGATTTTCCTAGCCCCCCCCCCCCGGCTAAAAAATATACCTATCTTTTGTTTCTTTCTGATAGGTATTGTTTTTGCGTTCATATAAAGAGTGCAGATGATTAACTTGATAGAACCAGAAGAAAATAATCTTTTTCTGATATCAGATCAGGTTTAAGATATTCGTGATGAAGTCGAGTTTTTTTTAAGAATGTTCTCGATACACTTAAATATATTGTATAACCATTTTTGTCCGTTTTCCGATATTTCGAGATTTTACCAATTAAAAAGAAACCGATTAAAAATATAATTTTAATTATTAGGAAGATTTAGGGGGAAGGGGAATGTTTCTTATATTAAAAAAAATATATACATTTTCTAGGTATAACACGAGAGATAGTAAATAACTTATTTTTCTATCAAGAACAATAATTTTGATGTATTTTTTTTATGCAAAGCATAAAAGTTAGTAAACAATTTTTATTTTTCTAACGATAACAATAATTTTTGATATAATTAACTTGTCCCCACAATAAAAATACATTGATAGATTTTTAATTTTTTGGAAATGGGGTTTTTTTTGTTCTAATATAAAAATGGAATGAAAAATACTAGTGTTGTTAAACGGCTCGATATTGATCCGATTTTTAAAAACGGCTGGCTCAATATTTTAAGGGTCTGGGGGCGAAGCCCCAGTAATTTTTTAATTTACCCCCCCCCCCCCCCCCCCTTTCCTTTTGAAAATCCTGGCTACGCCTATGGATAATTCATACAACATTCAATGTAATCATGATCATTCATAGGCCAGACAAGATATAAAATATTATAATAGATCTTTCTACATTACAATAATTTTAAGCAATTAAAATATTATCACCGGGCATTATATTATACATACATATATAATCATTATATCAATATTATCTATATATTGATTATAATGCAATTATACATATAATTTCTATACAATATTATTATATTTATATCTAATAAATAACATTATTAAAATACAAATTTGTGATTAATTTAATATATAAATATGATAACATTTAGTTATTTTTAATTTTAAAAATTATCAAACTAAACGATGCAAACAACTCTTAAAAAAAATAATACGCTTCGAAGTGAAAGCTTTTGATGCCTTCATACATACAAAAATATTATCAAAAAGTAAAAAATAACTTATCTAAACATTTTTCCCCTTAGCATATGCATTATTAATGATTAAATATATTTGTATTTACTTTATATTAATTTATTTAGGTAAAATGAATATCCAATATGGCCGACCTAAATAATGTAGAATTTATTATCATTTATCTGGCATAGTAGTGTCAAAATATGGTAAATATTTTAGTTTTTTCTGTAAAAATTAATGTTTACTCAAATTTATATATTTTAATAGATATCAATAAAAGATTGCTTTGTTAAACTTGAGAAAATTGATTCATATTATCAAATACATGGTGTTCAAGAAGATTTGCAATATGATATTAATGATTCAATCAAAGATATAAATAATTTACATAATGAAAATTTCTCAGTACAAAATGCATATTCACATTCTAAATCAAACATTTCTAATGACAAAGATCACACAATAAGACAGGATAGGGCTAGATTTAAAAATGATATTATATCTGATGATTATCTATATAATTATTCCAAAAAAAATAATCCACACGAACAATCAGATGATGATAATATAGATAATTACGATGAAATTATTGATTCTAATGAATTTATAGAATCAACAGATGAAGATGATAGTATTGATTTGCCAAAAAATGAATCCAACATTATACCCAACAAAATAAATCCCATAAAAATATATTTCTCATGTTCCAGTTGTGGAACTTCTTTTACTTCTAAGAGCTTGCTAAAAAATCATATATTATCATGTCAAAATACCTGCACTCCCCTCTCAAATACACCTGATGATAATGCCTTAAATAAGTCAGGGAGTGACACATTTGTTTGTCCATTATGCCCAGATGAAATATTAAATGATAATTTACCAAATCTCAAGGCACCAAATTTTGAGGATAAAGAAAGTCTTGCTAATCACATATGTGTTGTGCACAGAGAGTATATTCAAGGGCTAACAAATGAAACAAGTTGCGTAACCATTGAGGATAAATCTATAATTGACACAACTGCTAATTTAGATAACCTAGTCAATGATGATAATTACATCACTTTAAAGGGAAAGCTAGTTTATTTACCACTTTCTCTCAGGCCCAAAATAGACACTATCAACAATCCCTCCTCGTTAACAGTTGTGGGCAATAATAAATCACCCCCAAATCCAAACACCAAAATTTGTTACTACTTAAACTGTGGGCAATCTTTTAGTAGCCGTATGAAATTGACCAAGCATATAAGAATGCATCACTATGCCACCTCTACAAATACAGATGATGCTGAACGAGCTGCCAAACACAAGCAGACCCCAAGTCTTAAAAAACGCCTTAACCAGGAAGCTTCCTTTATAACCATATCAACCACTCCCAATAATAATTTTAACACTGTTAACCAGGATGGGAATATTATAGGACCGGAACACTATTTTGCCTCCATGCTGGGTCAAGAAGCCATCTATAAACTAGCCACTCAAACCTCTCCCACCTCCCAGCAACTTAACTCAACGTCTGATTTAAAAATGGACACTGGCTTTGAATCAAGTAATGATAAAATGTTTTTCTGTCCCACTTGCCAACGATCCTTCACCTGCAAATCTTCCCTTAGAAGCCATGTACTAAATGTTCATGACAAACAAAGGTAACTATCATATGTTTATTAATATATTTTTTTAAAAGTATGATTGTAAAATTAAATTAAACCTCACTGTGCTAAGAAAGTGCTAATTATAATTTGTATAGATGATAATTTAGAGTAGTGTTGTTAAAAGGCTCAATTTGGGTCGATTTTTAAAAACCTAGAAAAATATTGTCTAAGCCTCGATTTCGTTAATAGATGTTCAAACCTTTGTGGCCACCTATGAGCAAAATCTTAAGGCATGCATAATATTTTTCCCAATAAAATATTGAGTTGGCCATTTTTAAAAATCAGCTCAAAATTAGCCATTTAACAAAACTAATTTGGAGTATAGTTTTTTTTACACTATAAAAATATATAACTATTAAATTTTTTAGTTTTATATGTTGTAAATATCCCTCCCCCCCATAAATTTTGACCTTTCACAAGATATCTGAACTGTAAAAAATAATGTTTTTGTTTTGATTCAGCATCATACAAAAAAGATGGTTTAAGGTTCAAGTTTGATTCCCTAAAAAATTATAATTAAGTTTAAACCTTTAAAATCTGGTTCAAGCCTTTAAAAATATTAGAATGTATAAAGAAGCACATTTTTAAATTTCACTAAATCATGTGATATCTGTACCTAGATACTTTTTATAAAAGTATCTGTATATCTAGATACTATCTTCTAGGTATCTATATCAGTTTTTAGATACACCTTGATCTAATTTTATTTTACATTAAATTAGGGATGTACTGATATTTTTTATCAGATCAGATCGGGCCGATATTTCACCCATTTTAAATTATAAGTTAGTGGCCAATGTTATGAAAATTTCTCATCCAATTCGATATAAAATGGCGTTTTTAATAAAAATAAAATGTTATAATATTTTTTAAAAAGTTATACCTAAAATCATTTATTTTTATAAATAAAATCCAAATCCATTTTTATGTTTATTTTTCTAATAATAATAATTAATTAATAAACATTCTGCCATATTGTTATTTTTTTGCGCATTCTATTTATAAAACTGTGCGATCATCTCTTCAGAATCTGTTTTTAGTGAAGCTGGTGATATTGACAGCTACCATCGCCGCAGGCTAACCTCTGATAAATTGAAAATTTTATTTTAGTATTTCTAAAAAGAAATCTTCGATATATTAATGTTAAATATTATTTTAAATATTTATTTCAAATTTCATATTATATTTGTTTATTACTTAGTATGTATATAGATTAATGTTATTACTTATTATATAAAAGTGATTTAACAATAAAAACATCTTATATACCTTTAGAATTGCAATTGAATTGGATATAAACTACAACTGATCATACAATATATTTAAATGACATAAGTTATGATATAGTTAAATTATAGAGATAATATAAAGTATATTAAAAATTAAAATCATTGGTATCTTTACAGAATACAAAATTCGATATGATATCGGTGTTGTAGCTGATGAAAAAAAGAAGAAATAAATTTAATATAATACATCAAATGTCAGTTATTTTCTGACAGGAGAATTAGGTTTTCATTGGTGATAGAAAAAAACACGTGATCATCACATGGGTTGGTGAGGGAACAATGGGAGCTTTTTTTAGATGTCTTATGGGGTGAAGAATATATGGAAGCTGGATAATTATTATTTATAATCTTTATATTTTTTTAATGAATATTAGAAATTTTTAATGAATAAATATGAAGTCTTCTTTAACCCTTTCGCGTCCAGCGAGATCAATTGTCATCAAAATTTTTAATCAATTAATTTTTATATTTAAAGAAACTAATGGTTGGTACTTAGAGATATTTATTTATAAAACAATATTTATTATTTTGTATTTTATCATTAACCTGTCAAAATCATTACTTTATTATATCAAAATGTCAAAATCATTATTTTATTATATCAAAGTACAAGTATTTTTGTTCATGGGAAATATTCCGGGCACGAAAGGGTTAATGGTGCCGTGACCAGGATTCAAACGAGGGTGAGTTAATGTTGTTTATTTTGAAATAGTTATCACAAAAGAGTTTATGATTTTGAAATTTCGGGATATTTTTAGCCAATTAAAGGACTATATCACCACTTATCCCTAATTCTAATGGTGTTGGATTAGTTTGCTTTCCCGCATAAATCTTAAAATCATATACAATACCAGAGGATCCGGCTAATGCAAAAACTTTGATACCCCATTTATGAGGCTTCTATTTTATATATTGTTTTAAAGGACTCCGCCCTTTGAACGAGATGATTATTTCATCAACACATACTCTTTCCTCCATCTCTAATTTTCGCATATTGTTTTGAATCCCTGAAATAAAGGGTTTAATTTTAAAACATTTATCATATCCATCTTGATTTCTTTGGATAAGTTGAGAATTATCGTTTAAATGAATATTTTCGCAATATTTAAAACCTGGTACGAGACATAGTTTCCGTAACCTAAGGGAACGCCAATTCCGTAGACCAATATTGTCTATATGAAGGAACTTTAACTAATGAAGAAAAAAGATGTATGCCTAAAAATTGTTCTAATTCATTTATATCAAGATTTAGCGATCGATTTATTTGCTGAAAACTGTATAAATTACTTTGTTTGCATATATCATTTAGAATATTATTTGAAATAGATAATTTAAAGTATTGATATGGACTTAATATATTGGTTGAAGGGGAAAATGTATTAGTATATTTTGTGTCCAATTGAGGGATATCACCTGCTCTCCATTTGATATTATTTTGGATTATAATATTATCATTATTTTCTGTATCTTCTATCTTGACTTGAAGATTATTAGATGTTGAAATTGATGAAGTTGAAGGAGAATCATCGCAAAGAGTGTACAAAATATCTTCTTCATTGTTTGATTCATTGATGTCGGCTTCCGAAATGTCTCCCTTGACTATTATTAAATTATTCTATGAATTATATAGAATCATTTTAAAAAATTTAATAAATGTAAAATTATAATATAAGTCAGAGGATATAGGTTTTATTAATGTCAAATTAAATTGGAATTATACCTATAGAAAATCATTATAAATATAAAATAAAATTAATGGTATTCTAAAATCCTAATGAGTTATTTTGGCATCATAAACTTTAAGTAGGTATAAAAAAGAGCATTTTTTAATAAAATAATTTTTTATAATATTATACTCTTACCTTTAATAATGAATAAAAATTTTAGAATTATTAAATATTATCCACAGAATTCGTTATATTGTCGTTATAAAATCATAAAATTCAATAAAATGGTAAAAATAAAATCAAGAAAATATGATTGGATGAAATTTAAAAATAAAACATTATGCGTTAATAATTTTAATAAAATACAAAAGTATTTTTATTATATTTATATCATGATGTTAAATTAAATCTATAGGCTTTTATAAATTTGAAATATATAATTATATTATATGATGTCAAAACAAATCATGAGACGTTAAAGGGTTATCTCAGGATGTTGAAAAAAATATTTTCAATTTTAGAGTTTTTGTTTTTACAAAGATCATGTAATTTTTTACTATCTTCACTATTGGATTGTTGTATAGTTGCATTACCAATGATATTCTTATTAGCATACTCTTCAATTTTACCAATTTTCGGATTAAGATCACCTAATATTATTATATTATATCTTGATGGCAAAGAATCAATCAAGGTGGTCATTGTGTCAATAAAACTTAATCTATCATTTTTTCTAGGTGGAGCATATAAATTTATAATTATTGTAGGTTTAAATTTAGTATTCAGATAGAGGAGACCACATCTTTCAGACATGTGTACAAATTTGATGATTGATAAGCAATACTACTAATTTGTTTTTCATTCCATTTATATTGAGAGACAATAGATTTCTTCATATCAAGTATTCCTGGGTGGTTTGATGATGTTATAGTGTCTACCAATATTAAATTATGAGATCACAGAATAGTAGTAGCCAAAATAACTATAAAAAATTTATGAGGTTACCATAATGGGGTTAGTCCAAATACATCTTTTCACACAGCAAATCTCTTTAAACCTCTCATCTCCAGAAAACAAATTAAAGCTCAGTCGCAAGATGATTTGTTTTTATTCGATCAAATACTTGTCAGAAAAAGAGATAATTTTATAAACATGTCCTCGAATGAATGTATTGATAATGATGGAACCTTTTTAAAAAAGATATAACAGATTCTTATAATAGGCTACCTAATATAAATATTTATTCAAGAAGTGAATGGTTAACAAATGAAACAATAGGAAAAATTAGTCAGCTCAGAGAAGGTAACAATCTGAATCAAGAATTGTGGAAAGATGTACAAAAATTGTTGAGGAGCGATAGAAGGAGATACATTGCAAAAAAAGCCTTTGAAATTGATAAGGATATGAAAGAAAATAGAATTTATGATGCTTATAAAAAATTGAAATATTTTTGTAAACCGTACAGTTTTAAGAAACTTCCCTATTTAGTTTTAGCAAATGGAAAGCAAATCTTTGACCAAGAAGAACAAATAGCACTATGGCTTGACTATTATATGATGGTCTTCGACTCAAGAAGAGCTATCTATCCAACAAACATTAATGAGCACTTAGTTCCACCCCCATCGGGTTTCTCCACGGATGAAATTGTAAAAGTAATTAAAAAATTGGGTAATAAAGCTCCAGGACTTGATAAAATAACAGCTGAACATCTTAAAATTGCTCCTAGAACTATATCCTCCTTTTTATTATCACTTTTTAATAAAATATGGGAAATCGGAAAAACCCCTACAGAATGGAATATTTCTTTCTTATGTAATTTTCCTAAAATAAATGACCCAAAAATATTTAATGACTATCGCGCTGTTGCTCTTACTTCTACTGTATCTAAGATTTTTATGGTCCTGTTAAAAAACAGGATGATGTCATCTATATCAAACTTATTCTCTAAATATATTTGTGCTTATAGACCAATTAAAAATATACTAGAACCTATTCTAGCTTTAAAAATAATGATATAGAAATGTTGAAATTATAAAATTCCAGTTTTCTTCACTTTCGTAGATTTTAGCAGAGCTTTTGATAGCGTAAATCATGATGCCCTGTGGATAACACTTTTGGAATGCGGGATTGAATCTAATGTTATCTACATTCTAAAGAATCACTATTCTAATTTATCCGCTTGTTTTAAAATAAACAATAAAGTATCCCCCTCATTCAGAATTAAAAAAGGTGTAAAACAAGGATGCACACTTTCACCTTTCTTGTTCAATATCATAATGTATAAAATCATAAAAGAAGCCCTAGGAGCTGCAAATCTATTAGATATAGGTTCAAATGTTACAATAAGTGTGAAAAATCGAATATCTTATGCTGATGATATAGCCATTGTGTCTACAAGTGTTGAAGAAACAAAAAATATGTTATACTTAATAGAAACATTAAGCTTGAGATTGGGTCTAAAAATAAACTTTAATAAAACTTTATTCTTCCTTCCCCAAATGCAACTCATAATAAAGTATAAAGCAACCTTCAATCAACAATATTGCTTCTTGTTGATTGGTCGGAAATAAAATAATAGCATATTAAAAATTATAGAATTTATTATTTTTATGATACCTTATTGATTGATTCAATTATTAATTAGATTAGCAATTTTTACCTTAAAAAATTAAAAACAACAAATAAAAGTGTAGAACTTTGTTTGGTTGATCTGAATTAAAAAAACTCGGCTATATTTATTTATAAAAATTTTTTTAAAAAAAATATATAAAATAAAACCCGTCACTCGTTACCCTTTTTCGAAACAAGTGACGAATGTTTTTTCCTTTTCCCCAAAAACAGTAACGACGTTACTTTAGCACTACTTATTAATAGAAGAAGTGAAATTTCCAAGCCTTCAATACTCGAACTTAAGAAACACCAATAAAATTTATGGGGGGAAATACCGAATCTAATGCTTACCCCCCCCCCCCCCCCTTCCCACCACCTCATCCTTCTCCCATCCCATTAGGGCACAATAAAGAAAAATGATTTAATTTATAATGTTAGGTTTGGAACATCTATTAGCGAAAATTAAATGTTTTAGGCACGATTTTTCTGGCTAAAATATTGGGTTAGCCGTTTTTAAAAATCGGCTCAAATCTAGCCATTTATCAACACTAATTTATTTATATCTTAAAAAAGATAATCGTTATTTAAAAGATATTTTGATTTAATCAAAAAAAAACATAGGTCCCATCCTTGCGAGATATGCAACAGAACCTTCCACAAAAAGTCCCACCTCAACCGCCACCTCACATCCGCCGTCCATTCCGATGTGCTACTCCACAGATGCGAATACTGTGGGCTGCGTTTCGATTCTCCCGCTCGCCTCCACGAACACCTTATCGATTTTTTTTATCATAAAGTTTTTTTAAAAAAATAAAATGAACCCCTTTCCCGTTCCTCTTTTTATCGATTCCCTTTTTTATAGCTTACTCAATTACATATAATAATACTTAGACTGACGATGCATTCATAAATACATTTGAAAGCGTCGTTGAATGCAAATCAGCTGGACCCGTTGTTTTTAAAAAGAATGGGCAACCAATATGGCGTCCCCAGCTGTTTTTCACTGATGTACACTTTTAATGAATGCATCGTCAGTCTAGGCATTATTATACGTCATTGAGCTTACTACACGGGATTTGATTAAGTTGCCTAATATAAATGGAAATTTTGGCATAGGAATCGTTTTAATTTGTTATCCATGATTAAGAAGCATAGGATGTGATAACCAAGTTTTTAAATATACATATTTAGATTGTTGAATTCTTTTTTTTTTAAAGTATATTTTAATAAATATCGTGACGAAAAATAAAATCAATGACTAAGAATATAGCAGTTTAACATTTGGCTTCATAATCACTCCATATGCTCTCGAGGGTTAAAGTTTATGCTCACTAGGAATTTATTTAAAATCAGCTGATTAGATTGTTACATATTTTTTGCATACTCAAATAGACATATATTTATTCTTACTTTACCTTTTGTTTTCAGGATCCCGACATATCTCGGATACCCAAGTATGTCTGCTACCTGTGCACATTTCCTCAGGTTTTGGGCGGGGCTTCTTGCATGAACTCCCATCTTTTCCACTCTAACCTCTCTTCCAACAACATTGTCAATGGTGATGGTCTAACCGAAACATATCTGATAGATAGCCAAGGAAATACTATCACAGTATATAAAGAAGAATCATTCCAATCCACAAACGCCCACTCAATCTTGGAATTTCAAAATCAACCTGTAGGCGATTTGATGGGTAAATACTGGTTTCAAAAAACAGATATAAAACTCGAGCTTACTCGCTCGGGCTTTAGGGCTAAAGTTAGCTTACACCCTGACACTGTCCATGGGACCCGGATGATAAGATATATACATTTTGGATATGAATGATTAATATTGCCTATGGTATTATTTTACACAAGGACCGTTAACGGACTTATAAGGTTTTAGCTGAAACTGGACCGATATGTGAGTCTGTATTTTTGTAAGGTCTTAATTTCAAACGGGTCTTTACATATCCGTTTGGTCTAGACATGGTCCGCACTGGCCTTTTCATCATTATATCATATGTGAATTAGTCTTTTTTGCTATGAGAGTTTTCATTCATTCATTTCTCTTATTAAATCCAAGAGTTTGTAAAGAAAAAAACACTATATATAGTCCTAAATACACAAAAAATATATCCAGTCATGAACAAATAATTTTTTTTGCAAAGCAAGGGATATTAAAATGAGAAATGTGGTGCAATATGAATGATCACGTGTTTTTTTATTCCACAAAGATCAATCATCTCTCTTAAAATATTGGCAATGTTTAGACTAAATTTGGTCTTGTTTAAAACGGTTCCATTTCTCCGATGTTTTAAAAACGGTAAAATCAAGATGCCAAAATATTATTACCTAGGCCTTAAAATTTCGCCAATAAATAAAACGGGAAAAAATTTTGGCACATTTTTGTGAGTTAATAATTCTCCCCTCCTCCCCCATGTTTCTAAAAATGATAAATAATTATGTTCACCTGTTAAGATTATCGGAATAAATAATTAATTTAAGAATTTTAAATATATATTATTTCTCTACCTTTTTTTGGTATAATAAATAAAAAATTAGATAAAATTATGAAAATTTGCTTTTGAAATAATTATTTTTTGTTGTTAATTATATTACATAAAATGATGCTAAATAATTTAACTCCTGAACATGCATTAAGTTATATGGACGTTTTTTCTAAATAAGCTGACCTTAACATACTTCAACCACAAGGAGGCTTTCGGCATGAGATCTAGATAACTTACATGTGGATAGACTGAAATACATTATGGTGCTTATAATAAGCCTAGTAGTAATCTTACATTTCTTAGAACAAAAAAAGAGACAACTTTTTTTCCCTTCAATTATGTGAAGAAGCGATTAAAAATATGAATGCTTAATCATTTAGCTTGGAAACTGTCCTTCACCATTATTCACCTTGTTATTTTTTTTTCGATGATGATCATTCTTCTTTTTTAGTTAACCAATATCACATGTATTCAAATCAAATTATTAGAATCAGCTGATTGTATTATTCCAATGCTATAAAAAGATTTGTAGAAATTATAGTGGGTATCATTGTCTTTCACGGGAGCGAATGTTCTGTTCCCCTTATTCAAAAACACTTGTCTAGTAGAAAATGAAACAAAACAACTTTAGTTTAGCATCGTCTGCTAGACACCCTATGAAACAAAAAATGGCGGCCTTAAAATCAGATTTCTCAAAAATTCTAAATGTAATTTAATTTCACCCAAGTAAACAAAAAAAAATTATGTTTATAAAATTTTGTAATTAAAATGACACTCAATTTTCTTACATGTGGAAGGTAAAGACCAACCAAAATAAACATGGCAGTTCATATTTGTTTATTTATTCCTATGAAATTGTTTTGTTTCTATACCATATACGGTATAGCTTATAACTGTTAAGATATTGGGCTGATATTTTCAATAAGGTTGGTTATGATCATAAGAATCTATAAATTTAAAAAAAAAATTTATACAGAGGAAATAGGAGCCATCATTAATAGGTTAAGAATGATTTTATGTATCACATAATAATAAATGAAATACTGATAATCGAAATTGAGTAATCATAATAATCACAAAACCTAACCTTATACCAATTTTTAAACGTAGATACAGCTTGTAAAATAATAAATTTATCACATATAAAGATTATTGTTTTTTAAATGTCACGAAACTCTAATGAATGCATATAAGTTAAATTATAAATTGTAAGTGTTCACTCATCATTTTAATAATAATAATGATTATACTCACCTTGTCCACCCCCCCCCCCTTACTTTACCCACTTTAACTAAATTTGGTATGGTCCAAAATGAAAATCCTATTTTAAATATCCTTTAAGGTAACACTGATCAAAGTGCCCATTACAATAATATCGGAGATATAAATATGGTAAATGGATACGAAAAACATATCACACTACACCAAAATATTCAATCAATCAACCAAGTTAATAATCGCGGGATCTTGTCACAAAACGAAGATCTTAGTATCGTAAATATTAATAATAATGGTGATCACCACTTTGTGGGACAAGAGGAACAAGTTGCGTTAGATAAGAATGACGACAAAAAGGATGCTTATAAAAGTACCGAAGCTGAAAAAACTAACAATATCATCAGCGCTGTCTTCAAAAGTAGTACACCCGGCAAAGTGGAAGAGCAGGAAGACCTTATGTGGAAACTGATAGCATCTACAATGGCTTCGGCCACCCAGACCAATGACGATCCATCTGTCAAAGTTTTCAAGGTCACGCGTTTCAGAAGTAAGGAGGAACTCTTGCGGCATATGTACTATAGCCACCCCAGGGAATACCTTCTAAGTAAAGTGGTTCTGAAAGACCACGAACCCCCTCCTATTCTATCCCACTCGCTTCAACTCACCGTGGAGGGCAGACACTCTGAGCTGTTTGGCCCCCTTCATGCCCACCGATTCGACCAGTTCTTATCGGGACTCGAGGATGGCGAAGAAGGTTTGGACGGAAAACGATTAGTTGCGGGTTCGGTTCTGCTAGGGCTGGCCCAGCCCAGGGAGGACACAGAGACTGAGCTGGCTACGGCTTATAACCTTGTGACTAGCCACGATAACTCCCATAACTTGACCATAATCGACCATCAAGGCAATGATGGCGAACAACTCCTAACTGAAACTGAATTGGTGCGAGAAGATCAAGGGGACGGAGACTTGGACGACTCCCAAATGCCGGAATTGAACAAGGTTTGGTTCAAATGAATTAATATATTTTAGGACGTTAATTATTCCCAGTTTTTTTAAAATTGTTTTCATTTTTTTTTAAATAAAAAACTCAATCTTCACTGTTATTTGAATTAGCAGTTTTATTAATATTTTATTAGACACCAAACCTATTATTCGGTAAAATTAGGAAGTATGTTAGTTTTTTATCGAACTACATGGTTCAGACTTAGGCCTGAAACTAAGCTCGTGGACCGCGTTAGCAGCTAGTTTAGGGCTATGCAACAAAGATTAGGGTTTAGTGTTTATAATAGATGCTGAGAAATACTAATTTTAAACACCAAACTCACTATATTCGGTTATATCTAACAAATACTTGGGGCTGTTTAAACACCTATATGTTTCTGATAATTTTTAACAAACTACACGATTCAGGCTAAGGCCTGATACCAAACTCATGGACCGCATTAACGATTAGCTTAGGGCTATGTAACAAAGATAAGGGTTTAGTGATTATATTAAATGAGGAAAAATGCTAATTTTATTAGACCCCAAACCCACTGCATTTGGTAAAATCTAATCAAAACTGAAAAAGATATTTATTTGAAACTGAAAACATTAATTAAAAACTGAACAAATCGAATAAAAACTGTGAAACTTACTAATTAAAATTGATCTGTTTATTCTAGTGCAATTTGATGATATCTATTATAAAATATAAGGAATATTTTGTTAAAATAGATTAGCTGAGTTTATGATTTTACTATAGATTAATGTTTAAAAGATTATCTAAATTATTTTTGTACCAATATGGGATTGATATTTATATTGCTGAGGCTAGTGGGAGAGACTGAATATCTATGGAACTAATAATAAATATATAATTATTAATAATTTCTAATACTAATTCACTACTTTTACTCTTTATTCAACTTCTATCAAATCCAAAATAATAATCAAAATATCGTCTGTAAATTCTTTTATTAAATTAATAATCAAAATATCATCGGTCAATTCTTTTATTAAATTAATAATCAAAATATCATCGGTGTATTATAATTATTTTTCTTGGCTATTTATATATTTTTTGCTAGCCATTAAAAATCCTTTTTCATAAAAATTCAAATATATAAATTTGCATGGCGAATAAAAATTAATAATAATAATGCTAACTAAAATTATAATTTAATATACGAAATATAAATTTGCATGGCGAACAAAATTAATCGTAATAATAATAATTAAAATTATAATCTAATATTTGAAATATAAATTTGAATAGGGAACCAAATTAATAATAATAATGATGTTAACTAAACTTCTAATATTCAAAACCTAAAAGATTAAGTACAAACTATAACAATTTTTTCAAATATTATTTGTTAAAAGTTTCACAATGTTTCCAATATAAGAATTTAATTTTTATTCAACAAATTGTTATCAAACAAAATCAATTTATACAAATTAATCATTAAACGTATTATTAAACAATAACCAATGAAATAAATAATAATCCATTTGACTTACTAAGTATTTACTTTAATTACGATGGAAAAAAATTTACGATGATAAAAGCATGCTGATGTTTATCAATACCTCAACATCATATATAGTATGCAAGCATGGTTCTGGACTCGAATTCGGTTTCAGTAGTTTTAAACTCTATTTTGCTGAAATTTTGATAACAGGAACTTAATCGAAAACCGATTTTCTTAAAGAGATCCGAACCCACACGGGTTAGCATTGCCCCGGGTTCGATGGGTTGCCCATAAATCGGGTAATTTGGTCTGCGGTCTCAAAATGTACAACAAAATTTTAATTTTCTGAACCCGAATTCAGGTCCTGAGCCCTGCTTTATGAAATAAAAATTAATTATTAGTTTAATTTTTTTAATATCATCTTATCAAACCAATTACAGGTTTATGGAGAAAGGTCGATCGGATCCGCAAGGGTGAGACGCCGGACCCGCCATGACTTGGGCGACGTCCCCGGGCACAGATGCCGCTTTTGCGGAAAATCGCTAGCCTACGACCGTTCGCTCAAACAACATGTGCGTGCCATGCACCCACGAGAATGGTCCATTATAGAACGTGAACGATTACGACGGTTTTCGAATGGAATGGCTGACCGAAGAACTCGCTTCGATCTTAGGACAGAGCCAGGCCATCTGTGCGAGTTCTGCGGTAAAACCTTAGCCTATGATCGATCATTGAAACAACACATCAAAAACGTTCACAGGGCTTTGATCGGGAATACCGGTTCTGGCACCGATAATACATTGGACCAGCATGGTAATATTTAATGAGTGAAAAAAGAATAGTTAAATCTCCAAGTAGATTTAAAAAGCATAATTCCTTGGATAAGAGAAATATTTTTCGGCTAATTTGAGGCTCGTAAAATTTATACATTGGACTAATTCGGAAAAGTTATATTAACATTAACGTACATTATAAATTTATTTAACGTTGCAGACCCTAACAAGGATTACTACCAGGAATTGATTGTCAAAAGAGAGCAAGACGGAGTTGTGGGAGAGGAAGAATTGGACGAAAATCAATTGGTCATCAATAACAGCATTGCTGGCAACTACGATTACATGAAACATGAGTCGGGCTGTGGGGGTAGTGGAGAGTGGATTAACCCGGCTAACGGAGTCAAGCGAAGGACCAGATTCGATCTAGCAGGTCCCGGATTTTTGTGCGACTTTTGCGGTAAGACTTTGGCTTATGATAGATCGCTCAAGCAACATGTCAAAACCATGCATAGAGAGGTTTTTTTTGATAAATTAATTCTCCTTCTCACATACAGTTTTTAGGAGGAGGGGGTAATTGCCCTAGTCTTTAAAAAAAAATGCGAAATCCTGTGTTTTTAGAACGAAAACTATCATTTCATAAAATAAAACTCCATTTTAAAGATAGCACAAATATATTAAATCGCTCCTCAACGCTTAGCCCATTTTCTTTGGTATGTGCTTGTAGATCAAGCATATATTTTTTTAGCGATTTCTCAAATATTGGCATTTTTATATTTGTTTAAAAAATAACTACATTTATTAAAACGCCTATAGGAGTGGGACAAGATGAAGCCCCAGTCCACTGATGGAAGAACGTCCAAGCGAGGCGCGGCTAATTTGCCTCCCCCCTTGCTTCAATCCCTCATCTGGGGTGGTGCAGCGATAGGCCTCGAAGGAACTGGCTTAGAAGAACTCGGTCAGGGTTACAGTTATAGCTTATGATTTATTTTAAACAACTTTTTTAAAAGGAGTTCGATATTCAAATGAGTTTTTTTACGAGATTTAGCTTGCTCATCATCAAAATATGTTGTCTATCAATCATTAGATTGCCATTTCTAAATTATATCTTTATTATTTTATCGTTTATGGATCATTTTTGATGATTAATATTTATTTTTTAAAAATTGCATTGTCTTTAATTAATATTCATTTGATTTGATTTGATTGTCTACAAATTTATATTATTATACAATACGAAAATATATTTGTAAATTATTTTATCCATACATTTTTATTTAAAAACTAATAAACTATTTTATTAAATTTTTATTCTTCTTTTTTCAATAAGTTTGAATTATTAAAATTATTGAAAAAAAATGAAAATGTAACGTGGCAAATATTAGTGTAACACAAATTGATATCCACAAAAAATAAAGAAAATTTAAATAATTCTTATTCGTTAAAAATAATGGGTTTTGGAAAGAATTGGTAAAAATATTAAAATATTTGTGGATATATTCGTGGATTTAGAATAAATATTTTTTTGTGTATTTAATAGCTTAAATTTTTAACAAAAATGTAGTATCTGTTCCTAGATACAATTGTATCTGTATCAAGACAAAATTTTATCAAAAGTATATATCTAGATATATTTTTGATATAATTTTATTTGATCATTTTTTTTATATTCAACAAAAATAGTGTTAGTTGAATTATATTTATTTAATAACATATCCGAATTTATATCATTTACAAATACAACCCGGATAAATTTTACTTTACACAACAGTTGAACACAACATTATACATTTTATATTCTAATTTAGTATATTAATTTAAAAGATATTTTTCATATTTTTAAATCAATATTTCTAGATAATCTCTAATATAAAATCATAATATCATATTTTTGGGGGGCCTTAGATGATATTAATGCTGTAATGATCGGATCAATGTTTGGGTTGAGGAAAACTTGGATAAGCGACAAGGTGTTTTCCTCTAAACCAAGAAATGTTAGAGCCCATTTGGTCTTTTCCTATCAGACAGGTATAAGTTAACTGTTTCCAGGTTTGATTGGCCAACCCCAATATGTTTGAGTTTATCTAATAGCTCAAATCATTTGTAGAAAGAAATACAATTTTTTTTTTTAAATTTGAATTAAAATTAATTAATCTTCAACGAATTATATCATGGTGGGCATAAGATTATTCAACGAGAATAAATTACCTTAAATTTTTTCCCCTGAGGAATTATCTTTCGTGATTCGAAAAATATCATGATTTTTAAACTTTTAGAATCGAATATGAAAATATTATCAATTTTTTTTGGCGGATGTTTTTTACTATTTGCAGAACTTAAACACTGATGCTTCTCTTTTTGTGGAAGCTAGCTCCTGGTTTGCAAAAGTAAAGTCCAAAAATAATTATCGATTCTTCTATGTCCTGGTTCGACTTAGTTTTGATACACATGGCTAAACAGCTTTTGAAGTAGGACACCCTATTTAGGAGTTTTTTTAGGTGTATGGTAACTGTTGAAAAACACATGATTTTTCTATCCCTAACATTATATAATTTGTTTTTTGATATTGTACAATATTTATTTTTAAAAATAAAATAAGTGCCATACTTAAAAACTTAAATGCCTTACTTTTAGGCTGTTTAGAAACAAGTCGAAATGTTTTAATTACATTAGAAATTTATCTTAGCCTTTTTCTGCTTAGATTTCCAAAATCTAGTATAATTGTCATAAAACCTTAGAAAATTTAGGGTATTATTAGTATATTTTATCCTAAAATATGGCTTTGTAAAATTTAATACATTTTATTGGAGTTTTTATTAAAGATATGCCTTTTATTGAGTCGGTATGTTTGGATGCTCCACATTAGTACCAGCGAGATCTAAAAAATCAACTTTGTTTACATATTCTCCATAATACGGTTTATTTTATAAGTTTTTAAAAATATCAAAGTAATATAGAAATTTTAGTGAAACATAAAATGGGAGTGAACCATTCTCCACCTAACCACTTGCGTTATTTCTTCACATTTGACCACTAAATATCTTACGAAGAATTTTTTTTGGAATTACCATTCCTTTCACAAGTATGTATCTGAACCCAATTTACATTTTTTTAAACGTATCGGGCATTGAAAAACCGATCCTTTGTTTAAAAAATTTTTTTTATACACTACCATGAAAATTAATTATTTTCTTCTTTCACATAAATACTTTTTTTTTATTGATGCCTAAGCTAGATCTAATCAATCTATGAATAAACAAGTATTCGATTGGATTTACATCACATAATTGATTTTTAAATAGCAATAAAAAATACATAATTAATTATTGGTTGTTAATTTTCATAATTATTTAAAAATAAATTTAATCTTATCGCAAATTTATTCACATTTTAGTGAAATTTATTTCAAACTCTCTAAATCAATATTTCAACATCTAAGAGTAAGATGAATCAATAAATAAATATATCGTAATTATATTCATAATTTTTTTAGGGCAAATTATTATCCATAGAAATATAAAAAAATGGATTAAAATATTATAAGAATATGTTTACTAATCTATATATAGATTTAAAATTAATTCCACTTTTGGTAAGCTTGCATAATCCTTCTTCAAGGGTTTTAGGATCTAACATCCGCAAGCATCCTGGCAATCCGCGAGAAGGCTTCGTCCTCATACAGAGACTGGCTATAGCTATCCTTAAAACGAATTATCAAAGTTTCAATGGCAATCTTCTCTCCACGAACATTCCCGAGATTCACTTCTTCATCATTATTCTTATCATTTTACATTATATTTTACCTGTATATTATTTAATTTGGAATTTTTATTTTCGTATATAAATTGTGTTAACTTATATTATTTGTAAAAATAAAATTTAAATATTTATATAATATTATGTAATAAATTATGCGTGTAAAAGATTTTACAAAAAAAATGGCTCATACTCACCCACTGATTTTATCATAGTTTATAAGTATAATTTAATGATTACATTTTTTAAAATGAATTATTCGAATAATGTACTATTCGAACTAGAGGTTTGCAATGACCGGTTTTTAGCCCAAAAGCTCGCCCGTCCAATATTTTTATAAAAATTTAACGGGCCCAGAGATTATAAAAAAATATACCCGCCCGTATTTTAGTCTAAATCTTTTTTACCCGCCAGCCCATTATTAATATGCCGCCCATATAAAATTCAAATAAGCTCATTCTTTCAATTTTTTTTAACCATAGTGTCAGCGCTACATACTACAAAAAGGTTTTCTAATTTAAGAAATTGCTATATTAAGCATTAATTTAATTTAAATCACGAATAAGGAATTTATTTGATCTAATAAAATATTCATGTAATATAAAATTAATATTTATTGATACTAAAAACCTTCCAGAAATACTTATTCCAATTGCAAATATTTTTCTTCATAAATCTTTTTCTTGTCGTTTCCATCAAAGTAGGATATCCGTTTTGAAGTATGTCCTCTATTCAGTTGAGGTATTTAAATAAAAAGTGAAACGGTATAATTTAAATAATTGTTAACTTAAACTAAACTAAGTAGCCTAAAATCTTGCCAAATTATATAAAAACTCGTTATTTCAATTAAATTTTTTGTTATGTCAGGTAATGCTCTCCTCTGTAACAGCCACCTCTTCCCATCTGTTGTTTAATTTTGACGTGGATGCTATCTATTTATAATTTAATGGTCTCTAATTGAATTCTCTTTGCTTTCGGGGAAAGGGGTAAAATCAGATTTTCAACCACGTTGATGTTTTATTCTTTCATGCAAAATTTACCTAATTAATTTCTTCCGAAGACAACATTCTCAGTTATCGGTTACTTTAGTATTAAAAATGTTCAAATTTCAGCGAGCATTTTAATGTTTAACTAAATAATTTAAAATAACAAATAAAAGTTGTCAATTTTTTTAACCCTCCCGCCTGCTCATCCATAGTTTAAATATTTTTCTTAACGCGCTCACCCGCCCTCTATAGTGATGGCCGTTTCTGATATAAGTGTTCAGTTGAATTAGCAATGAATGTAAATGATCTAGTTTTTCGCACTTCTTCATAGTATCATCAAAATTCATTATTTTAAAAAATTCAATGCATTACTATTATTTATGGCCTCTGTATAATATAATGAGCCTATTTATTTGCTTAAATTTTAAAAACGTTTATAAATAAAATTATTTATTGAAGATTAATATCATTATAAATAATATATTATAAATTTGTACGATTATATTTTAAACAATAAATTTTCGATAATAATTTTACATCTATCATCTTCATACATCATACTAAATAATATTCTAATACAATTCGTGTATAAAAAAACCGATAACAAAAAAGTTAAAAAAACTCAGGATCTTCTTTTCTTCCTCCTGCTGAAAAGCATAGAGTTCATGTTAGAACTGTCGGAAAAATATTTCTGATAATCTGGCGACTCCATCATCATCATCGCAGCACTGGCCTCGGCCAACTCAACATCGCCCGTGGTTGTCTTGTCGTAACAGAGGGTCCTGTGAGAAAGAGCCGATTCACTACTTATATAGGAACTATGCATTTTCTTGATGTGCTCTTTGAGAGTTTTGCTATAAGTAAAGGTCTTGCCACAAAATTCGCATAAATGGATAAAGTTGAAGCCGGGGACAACTTCTTGGGGCGGTTGCGAGATTGAACCTCCGGAAATGGAGTTAACTATATTGAGTGGTGGGAGAATTTCGTAAGTCGGGCGTGGTGCTAACGTTAGGGTTGCTCAGAAGATAGTAATTGTTTTGCGAGTCGTAGTAATAGGTTTCGGGGTTGTTTAAGCCACCATTGTGGATTTGGTCATTAATTGGAGGTTGATTGGGATCGTATTCGTTCATGGATACAGGCATGTTATTCATATTACCGTCGTTGAAAATGGCAGGGCCCGTAAAGGTGCTTTGAGGATTTTCGTAGGATTGGACAGATACTGAAGGGTGAGTCATAAAGGGGGGTAGTATCCTGAAACATACTCGCTTGTTGGGAACGCCGAGATTATCCGTCCCAGTGAAAGGGTCAAAATCGGGATGAAACTTCTTCAAGTGTGAAACTAGTTCTTTCATATTCGGAAACCGAACTATACGGATAGGTGGGGGACGGCCCTCTTTGGTCACGATGGCTGGGTCGAAAGATGGAGGAACTATGGGAGTATAGGGCTCGAAGTAATTTTCCACGGCGTTTATGTCGTTGTTTATGTTGTAATAGAAATAATCGTCGGGTTCATCAGGGCCGGCAAACTTTGGGCGTGTGTTATTCGATCGATCGAAATCTATAATATTTTTAGATGAAGCGATGAGCACATCAGGAGAGGAAGAGGGTAAAATTTCCTCTACTAGCTTGGTTATTGTAGTAGAATTATTTTTGATATTCACAGGTTCACCTGTTCCCAAATGAACCCTGTCAACTATATCGAGATGAACCCGGGTCTGTTCATCTTCGTCAAATTCATTTTCGGGCGGGATCATCAGTGGTGATTTATTGCCAGAATTCAACTCGTTTTCCTCTTGAAGTAGAACGGTATTTATGTCGTTGACATAGGTATTAATGTCCATACCTGGAGGAAGAAATGCTTGAGATGGGGTACATAAATGACACATAAACTTGGGAGCCGAAAGAAGGGTAGGATCTCTATGATAAAATAGATCGACCAGGTGCTTCCTGAGCTGGGGGTATTGAGCGAAGCGTTTGCCACAATAATTGCACTGGTGAGGGAGGACGTCGGCGTGGATGGTTGAGGCCAGATGGCGATTCAAGTGGGGTTTTTGGTAGTAGGATCGACCGCAAATGTGACAGACGTAAGATTTCTCCTCGTGGAAGTGTCGCACGTGCCTGACGAGTGAATGCCTATCGGCGAAGGTCTCTTGGCAAGAATCACAAAGAAAAGTGGGGCCTCCTCCCTCCATGGTACTGCCGATTTCAGAGTCGCCCAACGTTTGCGTGGATATGACCAGATTATTTTGGTGGCCGAGCATCATCATGGTGGGAGTTGTAGTCGGTTCATTTATCTCGACCCTGGAGTCTTCAGCGTCCAAAGCTAGATCTATATCAGTAACATTACGGTAAGGTCCGGAATCAGTCTCTGCACCCTTGATGTAGAGAGTGTTTTTACGTGATACACTTGTGGGACGAGTGACGGGAATTTTCTTGAAGCGTCTGAGCCGTTCATGCAAGTATGGGTGAAACTTTTTAATGTGGATTGTAAGGTGGAGTTTAGCAGCGAAGGTCTTGCCACAAGGACCCAAAGGGCAACGATAAACCAGAGTTCCAGCTGGAGTGCTACCCCAATCAGAGATAGGGTTGAAAGAAGTCCCATGATGATGAGCTTTAAGTCTATGATTCTCAACGGACTTGCGATCAGCGTAAGACATACCACACTCCTCGCATCCGTATTTGTGAGTTCGGCAACCCTGGTGAAAGCGCCTGATATGATTTTTCAGACTGGCCTTAGAATGAAACAGCCTGTCCTCTTTCACATCCTCCGTGTCTTGCTTCTCGGTCCCCGAACAGATATAACACTTGAAGAGGCCCACCTTCATGTGAACAACTTTAAAGTGACGGGTCAAATGTCCGGATTGATTGAAAATTTTTGAACATACGTCGCATCGGTAAATTTTAAGATTGACCTTCAAATTTTCGCCCACCTTAATGAAACTGCCGTCCCTTTTTTTCTTGCCTTTGTTGATAGAGGGGTCAAATGAATTGTCAATAAACTCTTGAGAAACTAGCGATTCGTCTTGAACGAATCCCTGTTCGAGTTTGAATTCTCCAGGTGCCGAATCATTGGAGTCCTCGACAAGATGCTCAGTCGCACCCAATTCCATATTTTGGAAAACTTCGGAAGGCTCCATTTTAATGCTATTCGGCGAATCGTAGTCATTGGTGGTAATCAAGTTGCCTTCCAGATCACCCCTACCAACTATTTCGAGGCTCATCTCTCGAGCCTGCTCGGATTTGAGTAAATCTTCCCTGTGAGCCACGGCCACGTGATTCCTGAGAGAGGCTTTGAAGGCAAAGGCCTTGGGGCGTGCACGGATCGAGCCCCTGTCGTTATACCCTAATGGGCAAAGCGGGCACACGTAAGGCTTACGTTTTTCATGAGTCGAGCTCACATGCCCATCAAGACCGAGTTTGGAAGAAAATTTTTCGCTGCACAGATGGCAGGTGAAGGGTTTAAGCCTCAGGTGAACGGAATCAAAATGGCGTCTAAGCTTCGATGGCCATTCAAAATCCTTGTGACACACTGTGCACACACAATTACCGTCCGGTTGGTAGTTACTCTTGCTGAGCGGTGACGTTTGGTCTACATGGTTAGGGAGAGAATACGGGGTTTCAATCAGATCAAAGGTCATCTTTGGTTTGCGACCGCGTTTTTTACCCATGTAAAGTGTTTCGCAGGAGCCTTTAGCGGCGTCTTGAAAATCAGAGGAAGATCCAGCTCGAGTCATTGTATTTTTATTATCTAAACCGATCGCAGTAATATTATCAAAATTCTTCTCTATTTGAGCCTCATTGTTGTCTAAGATGGCTCGTTTAAAGGGCTCTCCTTGGTTCGGGACAAAGTCCGCCTCGTAGAGGTAATCTTCGCTAATCCTCTTGACCCTCCTTCGCTTCTTGAGAATTTCTCGATCCGTGTAGTATGTTTCTCGACTTTCATGGTTTCCGCTTTCATTCAAGGTGGCTATCGATTCTGGCCTAACTGAAACTTCAAAAGTGGGAGAATTGACTTTGTTATTGTGATTGGAGTCGGATTTTATGACTTCCACACAAGAGGATAAATTTCTCAGCATAAGCCCTTTGCAAAATTCATCCTGAAATATTTGTTTATCCAGAATCCGGGCATTCAGGGCTAGTTGTGGCGAGTTATGTATGGTGTGTTCGAAAAACATATGGTCCCTAAGATCGCAATTCAAGGAGAAGCTGCGAAAACACACGCTGCAAATATTTAGCTTACTATAATCTGCCAAGGCATAGCTATAAAATGATTTTTTTCTGGCTTCCCCGTATTCCTGTATTTCTCTGAATTCGTTCCCCATATCGGGTCTCAAATTTTTCATGACATCCATTTCCGAGTTAGAACGCATACGGGTATTGTCCACTCCAGGTAGGCAATTTATAAGATCTTCCATCTTTTTGGCATGGACTATATCGTTCAAGCGATTATCACATAAAGAGTGTTTTAGTTGATGGTTAACTAATGTACGAGGCTTAGAAACAGGGTTGGGTAATTGGGATTGGACCAAGGGCCCTAACAGAGGATCTATCTTGTAAAGTTTGACGTAACAGTCCAGCATTTTAATTTGGTTAGTCTTGAATTTATTTTATTTTTTTTTTAAAAAAAATAAAATCGATGTAGAAGAAATTTTTTTAAAATAAACTAAAAATAAAAAGGTTCTAAATTGTAAGACCTTAGAAATGGAGAGTTCTACGGAAAGATGCCCGTTACATTTTTTATCCGGTCCATCAAAATTTTATGAAAAGTCCACCCTGGCCTGTTAAATTTTTTTTTAAATTAATTTTCTGACCATCACATTTTTAAACTCTATATCTAATTTTTTTCCAATGTCAATTAAGGCTCTTATAGCTCTCCTTTATGGCTATCGATTTCATTCTACAACAACCGTTTATATAAATCAATTGTTTGACATCTGTTACTATACATTTAATAAAAATCAAATTATATCATTATCTTGTTCTATTTTTTTTTTGTGAATTTACAATAAATTATTTATAGATTTAAGTATTTTAGTTAGGAAGCCATTAAAAAAAAATACAAAAAAAATAGGCATATTGTAATTTATTTTCATAGAGTATTAATCAAAATATTCTTGAAATTCAAAAATATTTGTCAAAAGTAGGGCTGTGCCGATATTAAATATCGGATCGGGCCGATGTGTTTGATAAAATCCGATATTTTTATAAAAACCGATCCGATCCGATATTTTTTATAAAAAACCGATTTGATCTGATATTTTTTATAAAATTGTTTTTGATTATATTATGATTGAATAATTATATATTTTATTTTATAAATAATTATTTTGAAAATATCTAATGAGTCACATTCAGCTAGTATTGTTGGCTCGATTTAAGCAATTTCTAAAAATGGTTATCACGAGATGTTGGCCAAAAATAAATTGTACATTCGAGATTTTTATCGGATCGGATCGGGCCCAAAGGAATAGATAAAAATTGATATCACCTAAAAAATTTACTTCCATAATAAAAAAACTAGAATTATAAATAACACCAATATTGATATCATAGAACAGAAAAGTTAGTATTTGCACTAAAGGAATATCACAAAAAACCAAATTATATTATTGGTCCTTGAGCTAGTTATGATCCCTTCTCTCTTAGATATTGATATATTTTTTTAACTTTAATTAAAGAATAAGAGCCTTCATGGGCTTGGTTGGCCCGGGATGATTTTGAATAAATTTTTTAATGGGCTAGGCTTGATCATAAAATCAAGACCCATGAAGGTTTCTGATTCAATGTAATCAATAATTTTATCTTATTAAAGCTACTTTGAGATGACATATGTTTCTTAAGCATAAAAATGTTTCACAGGAAAAAGTATTAGTTCAGAAAGAAAATAAATTTTTCTTCAGATTACATATATGATAGTAGAATTACAACTATCAAAACAAAAAAAATTAATAAATACATTGCTGAAATCATTTTAACGTCCTCTATTCCCCTATATGCCCTTATAAAACTATTAAATTTTTGGAAATGATTGAATACATAAATCCTAATATTAAAGTGTTCGCTTATAATTCCTTTAAAAAAATGTTTCTAAACAATTACCTAAATAAAAAAAAGTCATGTTATATCCATGCTAGAAAAATTGCCAGGATAATTGGCCATCACAACAGATTACTGGATGTCTGTTCAAAAACTTCCGGATATATCTATAAGTGGCCACTATATTGATGAGGTCGAAAATGAAAAAAATAATATTGGAAGTTAATTATGTGTCTTATCCTCACAAAGCTGAAAACATATATAAATGACTCACTGAATTAATTATTGAATATAAATTTGAAAGAAAAAAATTATCAGTTTAACAACCAATAATGCTGCAAATATGCTTAAAACTCAGAGACTAATGAGAACTTACATGAGTCAAAACCCATTCGCAGCATATGGCTTTATGGCACATGTGTTAAACATCATTTTCCAGAATATTATAAAAAATATTGATGAAGTTATTGTGAAAAGATCAATTACAAAAAACGTTTATCAAAGTCCATTAAATTAATTGGATATATAATATCATATAAATAGCTTTGGATTTCATTTATTTCTCAGCTTTCTCTGATGTCCCAGTTCATGAGCCTATCCCTGGCTATTCTCTCCTCAAGGATATTTCCTTTATAAATAAATAAATATTTTTATTTACTTTGCGTGTCTTTATGCTACTTTGCAAAAGGCGTATCAATGAAAGAGGGGAAAGAATTAGGAACCATTTTAAAATATTAAATAAAAGATATTCAACCAATGGTAGGATAGGAGGATCCAGATAAATCCAAAGTAGTTTCATAAAATGGTTAAATAAAGGAAATAGTTTTTCTATTATCATCATTTGTCAGGACAATGTTTCAATGGGTTTCATATTCAGAATAATAAAGTTTTTATTGTCTCAAAATTCTAATAAAAAATATACAATCCTATTAAAAAAAATAGATAATTTACAGTAAGGACCTTCACCAACATCAAATATGTTGAATTCCAACAGGTTTCTGTCCAATGTCATTATCTATAAGTAATGATCTATATTTTTTTTAAGTAATAATGGACTTTGAAAAATGATTGTTGTAATTGATTTTAATTTCACAATAACTTATCAATATTTTGTAGAATATTCTGGCAAATGTTGTTTAACAAATGTTCCATACAGCCATATTCTGCAAATGGGTTTTGACTCATTTAAGTTCTCATTAGTCTCTGAGTTTTAAGCATATTTGCAGCATTATTGGTTGTTAAACTGATAATTTTTTCTTTCAAATTGTATTCAATAATTAATTCAAAGAGGCGTTTATATATGTTTTTGGCTTTGTGAGGATAAGACACATAATTAACATCCAATATTATTTCTTTCATTTTCGATGTTTCATCAATATATTGGCCACTTATAGATATATACAGAAGTTTTTGAACAGACGTCCAGTAATCTGTTGTGATAGCCAGTTTTCCTGGTATTATTAAACCATTTAAAAAAAAATTTAACTGTGTATTAAACTGGCGCGGAAACCTGCTATATAGATAACGTTTTTCTTTTCTCTATCTTTGACTTTATATGGTGCTGGCCTGATATATTATGCATTAATGTTTTTTTGTAATCAATATTTAAAAACTTATTATAAAAAAAGATGATTTTTGAAAGCTGTTAAATAAATTAAATATACATTTTAACATATATTATTAGTAAATACCCTATAAAATGATTATAAATTTTCACATTTAGATGTAAGAAGATGGTTAATTTTATTTTGGTTATTTTTTAAAAAAAACTATTTGCACTTTTAGAAAATGAAATGTACTTTTGAACTTATTAAAAAGGTAAAATTTCACAAGTAATCTATTTTTTGTTACCCTAAAAAATATTGATTAATTTGGTGGCAGAGTTTGAAATGCTTCAAAATAAAAAAATCTTCAAGGATTTTGATCTCTGAAGATTAATTTTACTTCTAAAAGAATTTTTTATATAAGTAAATTTTTTTGCAATTTCTATGCATAAAAACAAATCTTTCATGATAATATCATAATTTTTAAGAAATGATTTTAGATATTCTTTAAACGTATCTTCCATTTCTCTGGTCAAAATTTTGGGGAGGAAATATCTTTTTGGTAGGATTTGATGATAATAAACATTAACCTTAATAGTTCGATTTAAAATTAATGCATAAATAGATCCTATTCCAAATCTATCACTTATGTAATCTATTCTATGTATGTGCTGTATTGTATTAATCACTTCCTAATTTTTAGAAAAGTGAATTAGAAGATGTCTGCAAATAGGCCTCACCCAATCACAATTTTTAAATTTTGACTAGTGTTGTTAAAACCTAACATTAGTCAACTATAAGACTGTTTTTATCCAAAAATATTCGAATCAATCTTCAAGTTGAGACTCAACTTAGAGGTTTAATTCAATTTTTTAGGATAAAAGCTTGACTAAGTCACAGAAGAGATGGTCAAAGTTAAGGCAATTTAACAACACTAATTTTGACTATTATATAGAAATTTGAATATATATTATATAAATGGTTTCAAATGAAGCATGTGATCAGTTGATATCATAACATTTGTTTATTATAATTATATATATACTATGTTTATTATAATTATATATATAATACAAATGTAAAATAAAATGTATTTAAATAGAACCTATTGAAAAAAATGGGGTTGAATAAAGGGTATGTTATTTATATTAAAATAACTAGTTGCAGTTAATATTTACACTAATAGTTTATAAATTACAATTATCTATCTCATAATTTTTAATAATTATGTTTAATAAAAGAGTCATTACATACTAAACCAATTGAGAATCTCTTGAAATTTTAGAATCCTAGCTCTTATATTTTTGAAGATATCAGAGGTCAAATCTAGAAAAGACCTATTTTTATGGCTATTGATTGTCATATTTGATTTTATTTTCATGTCGTAACTATAGTCAGTCTTAAAATAAGGTATGGATGGTGGCTGTAATAATCACCACAATATTGTCTGTACCAACTTTCTCTTCATGAGATCCAAAAAGTTATTTTAAATTTTAAAAAAACTAATGTGATTTGAACATTTAGAAACTAGTTGTAAAAAATTTATAATGCTTATACAGAATAAAGTTTTAACTAATTCATTACATAAATCTCATTTGATGGTTTACAATCTAATTTATATAAAATCTATTGCAGCTGGAGTCAATATGATTATACTATTCATTAAATATGCTAAAAAATTATTTCATATAAAAAAAGAATTTCAATTTAAAATTCAAATAGAAATTTTTAGACACAATTATGGTTCCTTTTTGGGGACTCAATTATAGAATTTTATTTTTAATTATATAATTATAATTTATAAATTATAATATTTTTACTTATTTAGAAATTATATAGAGCATGTTATTTAAAAATAAGGAATGCTAGGATATCAAAATAAAAATTAATTTATTATTTGGTCTCATGTTAGTAAATCATTTTAATGGATAAATAGATTAATGAAATATGAACATTATATTCATAATGCAAATAATTAGCTACTAAATAATCCAATCAAGATATATGATTATGACCAAAACATATTATTTATAAATAATTCATTAAATAAGATAAAACATTAATAATACTATTTAAGATTTAAATAAAAAATTGGATAAATTCAATTAAAAAAAACTAAACCTTATGGCAAGTGATAGGTGATGCTAAGTCGTTATTTCTATATTGTCAATTAAATTAACTATTGGCTTAAATATATATTTTATGATAACATTAATAAATATAGGTGATATATTTTAATACCTCCAAAATTAACTAATGGTTCTCTGATAAGAATTCGTCATTGGAAAAATTAAATTATAAAGTTGATTTGTAATAATAAGAAATTCATTTTAAAAATAAACGAGGTTATTAAATTAGATAAAATTCATTAATTTAACCAGATATAAAATAAAATTAGCATTTAAGTATAATATTAAAATGATTTATAAAAAATACGATGCATAAAATAGGCAATATATTTTTAATTATTTTTAAATGTCATATAAACTTATATATATATATATGTATATAATATATATATTCTTAATTTCACATTATATTTTTTATTGGTTAATTATGAATTTATATTATTATTAGAAATAATTTATAAGGAACCTAACATTATTTATTTTATTATCATTGATCCAATATAATATATCCATTTATATAAGAAAAATGTTAAGTAGGGTAGTTATTAAATTAATAAAAAAATAAAAGCATTCAGGATAAAATGAAATTCAGAGGTTCAAAGAATTATTTGACTAAAATATTTTATAATCAATTATATCATTGCCAAATTAACTAATACAATTATATTCCTTGTTGTGCAACAATATTTTAAATTATAATTTGATAAATATCTAACATGCAAATTAGAATATGTGTGAATAAAATGTTTATCATAGTCTTAATTTGGGCTCGGTTTAAAATATTTTTAATTTTAGTAAAATGTAAACTTTAATTTAAAAGGGTCACAATGGAAGAATTATAATAATTCTGCACAACGAACATATATAGTTGGATAAGTTATTTTTTTCCAATATCTTTTTGGAAAATATCATTAATCTATAGGTCTGTTTTAGGCAAGTTCCAGCCCACAAGTGGGCAACATATATTAGAGGCAATGTGTTTTTTTTCAATGTGTTATTTTTGTAATTTAAATCACTTTTGAGTATGTTTTTTAAATTTAAAAATCTTATTGGAAATATATTTCAATATGTTTAAAATACTATCTTATAAATTTCAGACAATATTAGAGTTAATCTTTGAATCATTTATAATTTATAAAAAAAAATGTAAAACGAATATAAATTATATTAAGTTCAAATGTTCACAGCAAAATTGTCTGAAATTCATAGGGTTGGTATTCTAAACATGATGGATAACATTTTTCAGGTAAGATTAAATTTTTAAATTAAAAAAAACGGGCTAGTTGACATATATACCCTTTATTTAAATTTTAAGCCCATCAACTTATTAGTGTTAAATATAAGTAACAATTTTATTAAAGGATTTTTTATTGTAGAAGACTTAAGGCTAGAAACGTTATATTATATTATATTCATTTAATATTAAATTCATGTTTGAAACGTTATTTACAATGATTTTTATTTAATATTAAATTGATGTTAATTTTGTATATATACCATATGATTAAGTTTTACCTTTTTTTTATCTTTTTGGAAAATAAAGAATTTTATTTAATATATACTATGTAAAATTAGATTTGCTCTGAGTAAATTATTTAAAATTGAGATATTCCTAATCCTCACGGATTCCATATTCTACAATTGATGCTATATTCTTAACTTTCAATCTTCCGTATTTATTCAATACAATCGTCCCCAATTCTTTCTATACCCTTTTCGCTAGTCCAGGTGGAAGAGAATGTTGTAAAGATCAAGATGTTATTGAAGACATTGGATCTAAAATTTCTAGCGGAGAATATTGTAGATGAAGCGACAAAAAATATAACCTATTCCAAACAATGGACAAAGATATGGCTGTGAGTATTATGGATAACATTGATATTTTATCTCATCAACAAATGTAAGAATTGATACAAAAGAAAGTTGAAAAGAACAAAATTACACGTATTTTTGAATTGTTCAATGCTAAACCTGACAGACTTAAATCTTCGAGAGAATATCTTGACAGACTTAAAGGTAGTGGTTCTGGGCTTAATTCGAAATTAATAGCTGTTCAGTTTATGATTAATTGTCGAAATGAAAAACTTAAAACAAGATTGATAGAAGAAAACACAACAGAGCTTAACGTTATTGAGGATATTGTGGTCAAATGTCAGTCTATGGAGATAAATAATAATCAAACCTTTATAGAGAAAGATTCTTGGAGAAGAGATGATGGAGCAGATTGGCAAGGCTGTTCATCGTGGAAAGGAAACAAACAGAATTTTAAGACAAGCAACAGCAACAACAATTTTAGAAACAAGAAATTATACAAACACCTTACAATCTTAGACCAAGAAATAAGATTAACTTTATTAATGATTCTATGATTGACATACAACTTAATAATCTAAATTTTTCTTTTATGATAGATTCTGGTTCTCCAGTGACATCCTTGCCCATCAAAAATTTTGAAAAGCTGGCCAATTATGAAGATGTTGAGTAGAAAAGTTGTTCGAGAAAATTATTCTTCTATGAAGGTTCACCTATCACAGTCATTGGTCAAGTCAGTAAAAGGTTAAATATTTTAATACGATTAAATATTTAGATTTTTATGTTTTGGAAGGGGAAGGACCACCTTTATGTGGTCAAGGCTGGATCAAAGAATTTGACATAATTAAATTCAACTCTGATAGTACCACTATTAATAAGCTAGATGGTGATAGGATAAATTTTTTAACTTTTGACAATCCTTGCAAAAATAATGATAAATTTTATAAAGATAAAATCGTTATTCAGTCGATATTTACTGAAGGGTGTGTTAAAGCGAGTTTTGATATTTAATAGATTAATTAAAAGTTTTAATTGTATTTTTAATAGCAAAATTGGCAAAGTTAAAAATTTACAAATAGATATTTTGTTAAAGGATGATTTTAAACCAAGATTTTTGAAGGCTAGAGGAGTGCCTTTTGAAATAGAAAAAGCATTAGAGGTCACATTAGAACAATGAGGTTAATGATGAGAGGCTTTCCAAAAATCACGATTTTTCAAATATATATTATAAATATATTTGGTAGTGCCTATCCAAATGAAAAATGAACAAAATTCAATTTGATAGATGGTACCTTAAGGTACCAAGCATCATTAACCGTATAATAACCCTGTGAGATTTTCTCAATGGGCCATTCCTTTAATTTTGGTTAAAAAAAAGATAATGCGTTGAGAGTTTGTGCTGATTTTAAAGTAACCGTAAGTCCACAATTAGAAAGGTTTGAATATCCTCTCCCAAGGATAAGTGACATAATTGCTAAAGTAGGAAATTGAAAAATATTCTCGAAAATAGATTTTTCCACGGCATATTTGCAAATTCCTGTTTCTAATCCAAATTTTTGACGTTTCAACCCACAAGGATCTTTTTCAATTTAACAGGTTACCTTTTGGACTAACAGTGTCAACTGCTTATTTTCAAAAGACCATGGACGAAATTTTTTCTGACATTAACGGGGTTAATTATTATTTAGATGATTTGCTAATTTTTGGTAAGGAAAGAAGATCATTTTAACAAATTAAGAAAAGTGTTTATAAGAATGTTGGAATATGGATTGATTGGATATATTAAAAAAAGTGAATTTAGCAAAGATAGTATTAAATATTTTGGTTACCACAAGTACCGCCAATCAAAGAAAAGATTCATCCGATAAATATTATGACTGAACCTAATAATAAGGATGAATTACATTCTTGGCTGGGTCTTATGAATTATTATTCGAGATTTATAAGAGGTTTTTCTAAATTAGCAACTAATTTATATGAATTGCTTAAAAGGTGTAAAAATTTTCACTGGGGAGTTAATGAAAAAGCAAGTTTTTACGAGATTAGAGAAAGATTGTGTAATGCACCAGTTCTTGCGCATTATGATAGAAATAAGAATTTGTTTATTTCAACTGATGCTTAAATAAAGGCATGTGTGCAATCTTATTTAGAAGAAGATGGTCATGAAATTGAATTTTTGTCCAAAGCTTGGGCTGGTGCCAGCGTCTACATGACAGGATTTCCACTGGATGCAAACCCCCTCCAAAGACCTTTACCTACCCCCCCTCCCCCCAAAAAAAAAATCCTCGCCACCGCGGCGGTGTCTCTTTATCATTATTTTCACCTATTTATTTATTGATACTCTTTTCAAAGAATTTATAAAGGATAACTTAAATTAATCTATCTCTACTACCAACTATCGATATTTTATGAATATAAAGAATTTATTTTTTAGATAATAAATTCAATTAAAACCTCCATTATTTACAATGAATTTATTATTATGGCATTATGAGCTTGCTGAAATATCTAAACCTTTTAAATTACATTTAAAAGGATAGTTTATTTGGAAAACAATGTGTATGATTGTTTGCAATATATAGATTTGATCGATGAATTGTATTATAATAATACTATAATAAAATTATTAATTTTTACAGCAATAAATTTTGTCTTATTTCATTTCAAAATTTAATAGATAACCCCCCAAAAAATTTAACCTACCCCCATTAAAACAGCTTACCCCATACCTCCTCAAAAAATAGGATGCAAACTGTTCCTACCCCTCCCGCTCATGTAGACGCTGGCTGGTGCTGAAAAAGGTTATTCTATTATTGAGAAAGAAGGATTATCTATTATTTTAGCTGTTAAGAAATGGAGGAAATATGTAGTGGGGAGAAAATTTAAGATTTTTACGGACCATAAACCTCTTGTTGATCATCCAGTTAAACTATACAATATGTCTCCAAGGTTACAAAAATGGGCCTTTTGTTTAGCTGGATTTGATTTTGACATTTATTATACGAGGGGTAAAGATCAGATCATTCCTGATGGGTTCAAGGCTAATTGATAAAGATGTAGTGTGTTTATTTAATGTTGATGATTTTGAGAAAGATGTAATAATAATTAATAATTTAGATCTGATAAAAAAAGAAACTTTGGTAGATACTGAATTAATAAGAGTTAAAAAATTCGTTTTGAATGGAGATGGAGATCATTCGCAGATTAAAGGTTATAAGGCGTTGGGAAAATTGTTGAACATTATTGTATTTTTAAGGGAGAACAAATTGTTGTTCCTCATAGTCTAAGAAAAGATTTTCTTAAGGTGCTACATGAGGGTCATATTGAGTTGCTTAGGATGTTAGATACGATGGAAAAATATTTTTGGTGGCCTTTAGTGACTGAAGATATTAAAGAAATGGTTTTTAGGTGCAACATGTGTATGATTAATGCGCCTAAATTACCGAAAGTTAAACAAAATTATTGGGTACAGCCGAACGTACCATGGTACCGAGTTTATGTTGATTTTTTTGGTCCGATTAAGAATTTTTATAGATATGTAACGATTGATGGGTACTCTCGCTGGCTGGAGATTATTAGGTTAAGAACATTAATTCGTTTACCACTATTATGGTTTTAAATAATATATTTTCCAGATTTGGTCATCCAGTAGAGTTGGCTTCCGACAATGGACCAGCTTTTAGGTCTTTTGATTTAAAAAAATTTTTAATAAAAAATGTATAACACATATTTGTACTCCTGCATACCATCCTTCTTCAAATGGTATGGCTGAAAGAGCGGTACGATCTGCAAAAAATATGATTTATAAATTAGGTGGCTGGGATGATAAATTATTAGAAGATGTTTTATTAAATTATCGTAATACCATACATTCGGTAACTAAATCATCCCCTGCTTTTATATTATTTGAAAGGGATTTGAGATGGAAGTGGAGTTTTTTTTTTAAGAGACAATGACTGTAATTATAAACTTAAATGTAAAAGAATAAATTTTAGAGAGTTAACTTTGGGCAACTCTGTTTTTGTAAAGGGGGCAGCAATCAAGAGTAGCGTGTAGGGATTGTCAGTGAGAGAATTAGTAATGTTATATGGGAGATTCAAATAGATAATAAAATAGTTGTTGTCCACATAGATCAAATTAAAAGTTTTTAATTGAATTTTCAATTATTCACTAATTAATCTTTATTTTTATAGTTTTTTTCTATCTATATGTAATTATTGCTTAATTTTTTTTTTAGATAATGAAACAAATTTTATAACAATACATGTTTTCCCCCTTCACAAAATTTATTTTTTGCAAATTAATCCTTTTGACCCAATAATATTTAAACAATTTATAAAACATTACATGTTTCCCTCCCCCTTCACAAAATTAATCCTATAACCCATAGTATACTATTGAAACAAATTTTATGACAAAAATTGCCCCCCCCCCTCCCCATTCACAAAATTAATGTATTGGTTGTTTATGAATCCTCTGACCCAAGATACAGAAACAAATTTTATAACAATACGTCTTCTTCCCCCCTCCCCTCTTTCACAAATTTAATGTAGTTATTACATATTAATCCTCTGACCCAGATATTATTTAAAAAGTACATTTAAATTACCTCCCGCATGTCAAGCGAGTGTTTTTGTCACTTATTTCTCAAAAATTTTTTTGAGTTGAGATTTTCTCAAAATTATTTCGTATTCCCAATTGTATTGTCATTACTTAATTTTTATTATTATTTTTTTTGGAGGTGATGCATGTTAAATAGTAACAATTTTATTAATGGATTTCTTTATTGTAGAAGACTTGAGGCTAGAAACGTTATATTATATTTATTTAATATTAAATTGTTGTTAATTTTGTATATATACCAAGATGCTTATGATTAAGTTTTACCTTTTTGGAAAATAAAGAACTTTATTTAATATATACTACATATTGTAAAATTAGATTTGCTCTAAGTAAATTATTTAAAATTGAGATATTCCTAATCCTCACGGATTCCATATTCCACAATTGATGCTATATTCTTAACCTTTAATCTTCCGTATTTATTCAATACAATCGTCCCCAATTCTTTCTATACCCTTTTCCATTAATTAGTAAAGGTATTGTATCTGCCTACCCCTTCCTTGTTAGAAATTTCTTAATTTAGTCGATTTGATTCTATATGTATCTTCAGGATTTTATTATTATTTTTTACTTATACTAATTATTATAAGGAAAGTTATAATCCTAGAACAATATAAATTTTTTTTAGGTTTATAATATTATTTATTTTGATTAATTTTATATGGAATTTCATTCTTTACACCTGTGGAATAGCTAAGATTTATTCTGGAAGGGGGCAGTGGTTATGCATTTGGGGAGGGGGACTTTGCTCCTGAACCCTAATTTACCTGACTTTAGACCGCGTGTCGTCTTTGAAATAAAAAAAGTTATTATAAAATTACACGTCATTGTAGAAAAATATAAAAATTTAAATTGATATCAAGATTCAAGATAGAATGAAGATTATAGAAGTACTAAAGAATTAAATGACCAATATACACAAAATAATATTTTTATCATTTTGAAAAAATGAGCTTTTATCATAAAATATGAGACTTGATGTCTCTAACTGTGGCTTTGATGCCCTTACGATTAGTAGTTGTTGCATAAAATAGTAATTAAATAAAAAGATGGATTTCGTACAATTTTGAGCGATTGTTTTGTAAAATAAATAATAAAGGAAATGACAAAATTTAAGTGCAGGAGTCTATACGAATTATAACATCTTTGTGAAGAGTCTCGTTTTTCAATTTTTTTAAAATATAATTTATAAAAAGTATCAATCTAAATCATAAAAATGCATTATCTATCTACTATCTAAATTATAAAAATGCATATATAATAAATTATAAATTTGATAAATGTATTACCAAAAAGTGACCATAATTATATGTATATAATATATTAAAATCAAGTCTTAATTTTGCACCCTATCCTTTACAAAAACTTGACTGTTATCTCTGAATAATAGGCATGCTAAAAAAACGATTCATTTTTTAAATTTTAACCAAGATAAGCGATTTAATAGTAACATGTAAACATAATTAAGAGATCGATAGCTTTAATAAATGATTTGTTTAAACTATCGGGATGGGTTTCAATCAAAAAAACATTTTATCGGAGGCAAGAGGGACCGATTTTATGCTTTATTTCGGATCAGATCTTTAAAAATTATTAAAATATTTTCTCAAATCATGCCGAACCTAAAAAATGTATGCCCGATGTAGGGGTTTGAACTAAACCCTTAGGATTGTTGTCAGATTCTCAAAAAGGTAGGTGACTATGCTGATATTCCCGATCAAATAAATTTATATCATGCCTATGTTCGAATATACCGCCACCAAATATGATGTCGTACAATTCACCACCCCCCCCCCCCTCAGATTTTATTAATGGAAATTCGCTATTGTCGACGTCATAAGAGTTTACCAAGGTTACTTGCCAAGAGTCTCCAACCATTTATGCCTTTCAGCTCTGAAGAAAATTTATAAAAAGATTGGTTCAAATAGTTATTAAAAAATTTGTACAAGAGGTGTTATATTATTTTTTGTGAGAGATCATAGATAGGAAAGAGAATAGCATCAGGAGAAAATTCAAAAAACCAAGAATAATTAGATTTTTCAGAAATGAGAAAATAAAGGAAAATAATGCTAAAAGAAGTAAAAAAAACGGATCACAACCCATCTTATGTAGATATGGCAGTATTAAAGATTGTTAAAAAGGAGTTAAGTTAATACAATGACAAAAATTAATTGGCCTGGTTACAGTTATTTACAATGATATATTATAATATTTAAAATATTATATTAAATTAAGCAAGCTATCAGTATAATTGTTTTAAATTACAGAAATAACTAGATATTATACATATTTTCAGACTCAATCATCGATAACTTGATAAAAAAATAATCAGAATTGTGGGAGATCTAAACCGGTCCTCCGCTTGACATCCTTTATTAGCATTTCAAAATGTGTATTTCCGATAATCACTAATTGTTCATTTCTTCAATAACACAATATTAAATATATAATTATATATATATATTATAAATTTATTCATTCCAAAGTTAATTAATTGTTATATAAAAAGCATCTGTTAGTTTTTTTTTTAATTCGCAAGGAAAAATAAGTTTTAAGAAAAATAATAATGAAAAAAATAGAAATAATAAATGGAATTGACAGTAAATTTTGATTTGTCACAAATTAGGCTATTAATGCTTTTCTCTTTGATCCATATAGACTATTAGATCAACCACTCTTTGACTGTAACCATATTCGTTGTCGTACCTTTTAAAGGTGCATTTATTTTATTTTTTAATTTTAAATTATACATATGGTATATGGACTTTCTTAATTCTAAGCCCGACTCGGGTTCATAGCCAACGCCTTGGATTTTCTCATAGATGTGACAGAGAGGTTTGAACCTCTGTATGCTAAATCTCGAAGTTTACATAATATCATTTTGGCGAAAATCTTAATAGGGTCGTTTATTGTTTTTAACAATCCTATTACTAAGTTATTATAACTCCTTGCAGAATAGGTAATTATTTCCTAAATAAAGAAATTTTTTTCAAACTCTAAGATAACTATTCACAAATTTAAAACATAAAATTTTATCATCTTTATTCTTAAATTAAACAAATGGTTGGTTATTTTTTGTAAGTATGTGTTAGTTTAACGTTAAAAAAAATTCATATTTAAGAAATGTCAAAGTCATTTTCTTCTTTCTCTTCTTTATTTCCTCGTTCTTTTATCCATTCTCAAAAAAAACACATCCTGTTTTACTTTTCTCACTTCTCTCTATCCTTTTTTTATTGCCAATTATTTTAATATACAATTTTTAAAATAATGTTTATTTTTTAAAGTAAACCATGCAACAGTCTTGAAAAATGTCGGATTTAAAACTATCGCGGCTGAGGCATCATAAATACAGCTGTGAGTATTACCTATAAAGTCGCTAGACACCACCTGTCAAGATTAGAAACAAAATATTGTTTAGGATTATTTATTTTAATAATAGATCATTAGTAAATTATAAGAGCTAAAGTGTTTTAGTCATAGCCGAGAAAATATTTCTCTTGCTAAATAGTTTTTGAACGAAGTTTAGTACTAGTTGCGAAATTATTTTGAGCAATATTATAGTAATAGATATTTCCTTAACCCGATATTAAGACCCGAGCAATTTTTATTACTTTAATATAACCATGATATTTGCAGCCGAATAAAGTTTAGTAATATATTACATATAATAGCAATATTTAATGATGGTTTATAAATTATTTGATAATTACCCAAACAAAGGTAAAATATAGTCTTTCACCCCCCACTCCCCACCCCCACATCCCATTTTTTTCCATATGAATGTTATTGATATATAAGTCGTTTGAAACTCATTTGCTATACAGTTAAGATATAACGCGCAATTTATTATTTGTATTTGTACCGAAAAATATTTTAATCCGTTAACCTCAAAAATTAATCAATATTATACATATTTGAAAAAATCTATAAAGGTTTTTTTTAAGATTAAACCAGATAGTAGTGAAACCGGGGAGTTTATGAGATTTGGGAATTTCTTGTGCTCGCTTGTTGAGTAAACTGAACTCTAATTTTTAATGTTTTTTCTGCAAATATATATAACTATATTATACACAGGGGGCTATAAAATTTTTTTATGTTAAATCATATATAAAAATGTTATATTCAAATATATAGATTAACCCTTAAAAGTAATTTTTTTCAACTGATGCTATTTTTCAAAATATAAAATAATGGAGGTTTTAATATCTATTACCTATCTATTTCTATATAAAAATTGTTCTTTATTTGAACTTAAAGAAAATGTTTAAAACTACCTTTAAATTAAAGATTTTAGAGATAATGAAGGTCTCAGGTGTTCATACGAATCTTTTCCAATAAAATTTAAATATTTTTAATATTACCAGAAATTTTAAATTTTATAAAGCAAGGATTATAATTTTTTTATAGTTATTACAAGAGCTGCTTGTATAGGCATAACTTTCCTCGAGTTTAATCCTTCCCTAATTTTTTTTTTTTAGGAAAAATTGGTTTTTGGTGATAAAATTTATAATAATTTATTTAAGATAATTTTTAAAAGTAATTAAGAGGGGAAAAAAATGAGATTTATTTTATTAAGAATATTCAAATAATTTGATAGTTGGCCTAGGCTCATACGATCCCCGGTCTACCTATCATTTTAAATAAATTTAATGGTGAAAGTGTTTAATATTCCGGAACAAATAGATCTAAATATAACTTCCTGGTCCGCTATTTAAATTTAAAAAATTAATAAAATCTTAAATTTCAGTGAACACAAGCCACCATTTTCCTATACCATGGTAGGTAACTAGATAAGATGCCCCACTTGGTTTTTTTTTCTAAAAAAATGTGATTATGATATTAAAATATATTTAAACCTGGTCTTCCGTACAGGTCAAATACCTGCTAAACACGGGGTCCTTGCTAGCTGCTTTAAAGATGTTTGTTAAAGCGGCCACGTTGTCGACATTTTTGCGTGTTCGACAGGTAAGATCGACGCACGAAACATCCGGTACCGGAACCCTGAATGCCATACCTGTCAGTTTTCCTTCCATTTCCGGTATCACTTTGGCAACAGCCTTAGCAGCCCCTGTACTAGATGGTATGACGTTCTGGTGGGCTCCCCTGCCACCCCTCCAATCCTTGATTATTTGAATTTGTGGCGATGGCGCAAAATAATATTGGTAAATTATTCGCGGTTATATATATTGATTTTGATTTTATGGATTGTATTTAAAATTTATTTTATAGAATAGATTATCATCAAATCCATCTCTTTTTCTTTCTTTCTTTCTTTCTTTCTTTCTTTCTTTCTTTCTTTCTTTCTTTCTTTCTTTCTTTCTTTCTTTCTTTCTTTCTTTCTTTCTTTCTTTCTTTCTTTCTTTCTTTCTTTCTTTCTTTCTTTCAGGCTAACGTTACGGTCGGTCAAGCAGTCTGTAATGTCAAATAATGAGCACCATTAATACAATTCATTTTCAAAAAAACGATGATAAAATTGGTAATGTTATAAGGTGTCAGTAGCATCTACACATTGTTTTTATAGGTTAGAGTAGTAGCTTTTCTTAAAAAAAAATCCACAAATCAGAAAAAATCAGAAAGAGAAAAATTTTAAAAATGTAATTCAAATAAAATTGGCCTTAGTTATAAAAAAAATTTATTCCTTCATTTTCTTTTATAGAACCTTCTGGAAAAAACAAAAATAAATTAAACCTTAGAACTCGGCCCGTCCACCGTCTTTTGGGTGGCGGTATATGCGTGAATGGTGGTCATGAGTCCCTCGATGATCTCAAAATGTTCGTGGATAACTTTAACGAGAGGGGCCAAACAATTGGTGGTGCAGGAAGCGTTGCTCACGACTTTCATGGTAGCCGGATCGTATTTCGATTCGTTAACTCCCATGACAAATGTTGGGGCGTCGTTTGACGGGGCCGTTATAATGACGCGTTTGGCGCCACCGGCTCCCTCTAGGTGTTCCTGTTAGGTGATATATTAATACAAAAAAAAGAAATATAGAAAAATTTGTAATTTTAAGATTCAAATTCTGGTTTCGGTCTTCCCCTTTTTTTGATGATAAGCTAAGTGGTCAGTAAATTTGTGAAAATGTAATTAATGAAACTACTTTCAGCTGACCATAATATCGATAAGAAATAGCCAATGGCTGAACTTAATTTATATCGAATTAGAGAGTTACTCAGATTCTTGTATTCTTCTACATGTTTGAGCATTGTCTAACTTTCTCAGAAATGACCTGTTTTTTCATGTTTACTAAATTGAATACGTATCTTAAATTTTTAAATATTTTAAGTAAAAGTTTTAAAATAAACAAAATTGTTTAATTATTTAGATTTTTCAATCATGAGATTTCTATTGGGTATAAATACTTTGGCTTTATCAACCGTCGTGAATACCCCGGTTGCTTCAACTATATAATCCGCTCCAGTGACGTTCCATTTGCAATTCTTGGGTTCTTTCTCATTTGAGATCTTGATAGAGTGGCCATTAATTATAATGACCCCACCCTTGTTCTCTATTTCGCCTTGAAATCTGCCATGAGTCGAATCGTACTTAAACATGTAAACCTATTATATATCGTAAATTAAGTCAAAATATTGTTTAATATCATTTTTTACCTAGGGGAGACTAGGGTTGGTCGGCCACAATTTTTCTTATGATAATCATAGTATCGATAATAATGGTTTTTATCTCAATTTACACAAATTTCATGAGATACCTCAAACCTTTTTATTTAATACTTTTTATCTCAAAATTAGTTAAAATAAAAGTATATTTTGGTCCAACAAGCCCCAAACCAGGGCTTAGAAAATCATAGCTCTGCTGGGACTATTTTTTATCAAGTAGTTAATTAATTATGTGTTTCCTATAAAATAAATAAAATATCTTTATTCCATTATTTTAATACGCAATGAATGAATATACATGATTCGAAGTTACTTGTTTAGTAATGGTTCTTAATTCTGAATTGAACATTTTATCCATAAATTCTGCTAAGGCATCTGACTCTTTCATTTTAAAAAATAAATTGATATTTCCATATGATGCTGATACAATTTAAAAAAGCTTTAAAAAAAAATATACTTACATATTCTTATTAATTCCATCCATAATATTTAGAATTCTTAAAAGGAAAAAGAAACAAATCTCAGAGCCAGGGCTGCAAGACTGCTTTTGCATAGGAGAGCACTAAGGGGGGAAGAGCATAATTGGCGGATATCAATGATATTTTTTTCTTTTCTTTCGGGAGATAGTATATTTTCTAGAGGGACCTGACAACAAAATATTTAGTTATCGCCTTGTATAAAATTTAAATGAATCGCGTGTATACCATCTCCTCAGAATACAATATTTACCTTCTCTTTTCCAACAACGGGAATTTAGTGGAGGAAACTGATAATTTTTTTTAAAATAAATGAAGTAATGGATTTGATCCGGTTATAAATAACAAAAGTATAACTTGATAAGGGAACGGGTAAGATGGCTATTTATAAAAATTTTAACAATCTTTTAATAAAATTGTAAATATAGGATTGTATACATTTTGACTGTTACCATAATTTACATTAATTTTTGATGGAATTTCGCCATTTTCACAGCGACAAATATATTTACAAGGTCAACTAACTAGAATTATTATTTTATAGTAATAGACCTATTTATCAGCTCTATTACATATATATATATATATTTATCCACTATAAATCGATTGCAAACTCATTTTGATAATACGATAACACTGAAAACTTAAAATTAAATGAGAGGTTTCAATTTGCATTTCATATTAAAATTAAAAAGACATCATAATAATTTTTATCTTTACCAGATAATCCAAATCGATGAATGGGTCATTAATTTGAACAACCTCAACATTAGATGTCTTTATTGCTATCCTCAGCACTAATCTTCCAATTCTCCCGAACCCGTTGATTCCAATTTTAACCATTTTAAATTTATAATAACGAAGTTCTTTATATTTTAATTTTTTTTTATTCGAATCGAATCGAATTGTATATTTTTTTTTAAAAAAAAGCAGACAATAAATTAAATTCTTTTTAGATTTTTAATAAATTTTAAATTCGATTTTTAAAAAAAAAACAATTTTTTTGTGTAAAAGTTTTATAGATAATAAGGTTATGATTATCAATTTCTCTATGATAACATTTTCTTTGGAATAATACAAATGGCGATTTTTGGAGATTAATGGCATAATAACCCAATAACCTACAATACTTACCTTAAATTGCATTTTAAAGTGTCGTTGGAAATAAATCAAGTGGTGATATGCCATTTTGATTTCTATACGGAAATCGATAGATGATATAAATAAATCATCAGTCTAGCTCTAGATAATATTATATGTCATACCCCCTCTCCTCCGCCCAATGATTAGTTTTTTTAATCCATCCGCTGCAAAATCTCCTGTAAATAACAAATTAAACGTTTCAACTTGGTAAAAATAACATGAACAATCCTATTCATAGGAATACGCAATCTCCCAATTTTAAATGATGGCAATTTTTTTTTAATTTCGAAGACGGAAATATCTATTCCTATAAGGTAGTGTTGTTAAACGGCTCGTTTTGAGCCGGTTTTTAAAAACGGCTAAATATTTTATACAGATAAATATTAAGTAAGCCTTAAGATTTTGCTCATAGATGGCACAAAGGTTTGAACATCTAATTAACGAAATCTCCTTAGACAGTATTTTTCGAGCTAAGATATTGAGTTAGGGGTTTTTAAAAATCGGCTCAAACCGAGCCGTTTAACAACACTACTATAAGGTATAAAATATTATCAACACCCTGAATTTCAGCCAGTTATGCCGTTAACTGTTTAAACAACACATATATTTCTTTATATAGATTTTTCGCATATATTAAAAAATTCAAAAAATTTAAGGATATACTATCTAAAATTTGGACATATGCTCGAATACATTTCCGGTCAAATTAGACTCATGAAATTTAAAAATTTCTCCTGGGTATGGTGACTAATAATTATGCTGTTTTGAAAAAATATATATAATGTCACGTGATTGTAAATATTGTAAAATAATATTTTATTTTCGATTTATATTTTTATGTTTCTATATTATTGTTTAAGGCGTTATTTATATCGTATTTTGTTCAATTGTGACTTGATAATTGGACATGTTATTATGTTTATTTTGAGTTTAAAAGTTAATTGTTTAAAAAAATAAATTATATATATAAAAAAAACAATTTTTATATAATAATCAGATTGAATTTTTTGAATAAATACCAGTATTGTGTCAACATCAATCCTATATCCTATTATTATTAGTGCAAATTTGCCCTTTTGCAACATATATACAAAAGTTAAGTTAATCTAATCGAGAAAACGATAGAGATTTTTATAATAAATATAATAATAAGCATATTGTTGTAATGATATAACTTATTTGTTTTCATTTTATTTTACATTATGTATTTAAAGTGGTGTTTATTCAATTACATTTACGTTTAATATTACTTTTTGACAAATGTGTCACTTAAGGCGAAAAATAATATATTATTTATCTTAGATTATAATTTGACATCAGTTATACTTCATAAAATTGTTATTTCATATTGCCATATATATTCTTTTAAATATTATTATTACAAAACAGATATTTATATCCAATTGATTAAATTCTTTAAATAAAGACGATTTATCATCATAAATTCTAAACCGTTCTCATATTATTATTACAAGTTCCCCGCTTGTAATACATATTTTCTTTTTTTTAAAAATAATATAATTTTTAAGTTTCTAATATTATTTTCAAAAATATAATAAAAATTTATTCGCTAGATGGCGTATTAATTTATTAAGTTATTCATAATTTGTAATCGTCATTTTAATATATCAAAATTCACGTTTTATTTTATATTATGAGCTACAAGTTCAAGAATGTGTGAATCCACAAAATTTTAACCCATATATCGCTGCTTGATTATAAGGTCCTGATTAGTGTTGTTAAACGGCTCATTTTGAGCCGATTTTAAAAACGGCTACCTCAATATTTTATTAGGGAAAAATATTATGCAAGCCTTAGGCATTTCACTCATAGATGGCACAAAGGTTTGAACGTCTATTAACGAAATCTCGAGGCTCGGACAATGTTTTTTTGGCTAAAATATTGAGTTAGCCGTTGAGCTTATCATATCTTTTAGGAGCTGTTTTTAATATTTATCTATCGCCTTACCCAAACATTAGAGCAAACTACACCGCATATTCTACACCCTTGACAAGAACTTTATTATTATAATTTGTCTGAACCTAATCTCAACTTTGGCAATCTACTAAGGCCTCCTAAGGCTCCCTCTTTCATTTTACCAAATACTTCGTTAATGTTAAATGTAGGGATCTAACTAACTGCAAGGGTATTACAAGCCTCGATACATCACTGCTGTAGACTTAATAAAACTATTTTACCTTATCGAGCTTATGCTCATCTTTTAGTAAATCTTACTCAATTAATAGAATTATTTTATGAAATGAAGGTTAAAAATGGTGAACACATAAAATTTGATGGAAATTGTAATAGGGTCAAAAGAAAGATCCTCCAACATTTGTATATTCAAATAACCTCAAATAATCATAATGAAAAATAATTTTCAATTTATGATAAAATATAGCTCCAACTCCTTTTGGTTGGTTTAAGTATTTTAGGGTTCCATTTTTTATTTAACCAATCATACGTTATTTTCTTATGATGTGACAATTTAAAAAATAATTTTAAAAAATCTTATAAAACAAATTTAAGAAGCTGCAATATAATTTTGCCAGTTATATAATATTTAAAATAAGGAGAACTAAATTCTTTAAACTCATACCTTTATCAACCTTTTTAAAGTTAAATTATTGATGTTTAAATAATAACCAGTTTATTCAATGCTCATTAGGAGTCCCAAGGACTCATTGGTGGAAATATAGTAAAAATGAAATGAAAATCCGAAATCGTGGCTACAATCTGATTTTAGACTTTTTGGTTTTTTTATAAGATTAATGTTTGAGAAAAGAATTGGAAGACACGCGTGAAACAACAGATAGGTTGTTTTAAACTAAATCAACGGATATTTGTAAAACCTGGTTTTTTGCTATCAGGCAGGGACTATGCCACTCTCAATTCTTGTTAGCAACAAACAAAATTGGCACTTGAACCATCTCTTTTACCATCTAAACAGTACCATATTTAAAATGACCAAAACAATTTTTTTTTTATATCATAGTTTATTACCCGAATACTCTTAACACCGTTTCAAATGGATTACTTTATGAACCTCCACTAAATTATAACTAATTAATAACGTCAATAAAGATAAGGGGGGGGGGAGAGCCCACAGTAGATCGATCTCACTGATAATAGAGCTCTTTTGAAATATTAGTTTAAAATAAATGGTCATTTTGAAAATAATTCAAAAAAATTTATCTTGAATCCCCAAGATTGTAAAGGCTGATACAGCCTCAACTATAACATTATATCATTTATAATACATCTATACATTTTGGCCATAGTAAATAGATAAATCAATTTAAAGCTGAAGCTTCTCCTAAGAAATTTCTTAAGAGTAGCAAGAACGCCGCTGCTTTTACTTTTATTGTCCCTGAACCTCAACCTCAAATTATCATCATGATCGGAATTAGGGATATCTGATAATTTGAGAGGTATATATTAAATCTTAGTTACAAATTCCTGGAAGACAAGAAATGTTAGCTAATCTAGATTTAAATTATATTTAATAATATGTATTTTTCATTAATAATTTGACTTTTTTTATATGTTTTAATACATGATCTATAATATGGAATTTATTAATGTTATTTTAATTGTTAAGCGTTAAAAAAGAAGGAATGAAGTTATTAACATTAACAACAATCATCATTTGTTTAAATTTTAAGAACATTTTAAAATTAATAGTTTAAGATAATTTTGAAAATAATTTTTCAAATGGAGGGGTTTTACAAGAATAAGTTTGCCCCGATAGATGTGATCAATTGTGAGATATAACTGGTTAGACTATCTAATTAAATTACATTGGTTATTGAAATTGATAAAAAGTAAGTATTTAGTATATAATTTAAGATAACAAATTTTAGAAGTATTCTTGAAATGTTATGAAGTAAAGGCAGAATCGATATATAGACTGTCAATTTTAAAGGGGATCAAAATGTTACAAAATGAGATGAATATGGGATCGATTTAGAGCAACCAACACACATTAAAAAAATAAATAAAGATTTAATGAATAATATAGAAAGAAAGATGATAAGACAGTGATGATCAAGCTTATGGTATGACGATTAGGAACGAACACGACAAGGAGAATTACTTAAGGAGAGAGATGTGTTATTAAATTTTTTTAAGGATATACGACAAAATCTTCCATAATAATAAGTAATTTAATTATATGATATATAGATACCCTTTATAATATTTTTCGAAATAAGTATATGTAATCATGAATATGAATACAGGATTGATTTAAAGTAGAAATAACAAATGTCACAAAATTTTTTTTTAAAAAATATTATATAGAAAGAAGTAGGAAAATGTATGCCTTATATCTTGATATATTTCAAACGTTAGGTTTAGTGAATAAAAATATATTTTTGAATGTTAGTTAATCTGGATATGTCCATGCAGAAAAGTATACTATGCAAGAGGAAACACGTTTTTCAATATAGTGGGTTCTTAATATCTAACTCTTAAATGTGTGAAACACTCTAAGTATCTAGATATATTGCTAACAGTGATATAAAATTTATTATAAATTATTTGCGTATAATATTTTTTTATATTGAATTACAGGTTTGCATGTGTTTTATTTGGTGATATAATAAAAACAAAAACTATTAAGTAGTATAATAATTAATTATGAAGTTTTAAAAAAACATAAATACCACATTTATGTATTAGGAAATTTTTTTTACAAT